CTTTTGCCCCTTACGATAGCCATAGCTCTGCCAATTTGTATCCGATCAGGAAAGAAAGTACCATTCACTAATCAGCGAACCCAGGGGCGACTTTCCTCATTCAAAACATTGGTTAAATATCGTTTTCAAAATTTTCGAATTTTTTCCAAAGGGCTCCCCTATAAAATTGTGGGTTTTCCGAATTTCCGTACTTTTGCCCCTTCCGATGGCCATAGCTCTGCCAATTTGTATCCGATCAGGAAACAAAGTACCATTCAGTAATCAGGGAACCCAGAAGCGACTTTCCTCATTCGAAACATTGCTTAAATATCGTTTTCAAAATTTTCGAATTTTTTCCAAGGGGATCCCCTATAAATTTGTGGGTTTTCCTAATTTTTGTACTTTTGCCCCTTCCGATGGCCATAGCTCTGCCAATTTTTATCCGATCAGGAAACAAAGTACCATTCAGTAATCAGCGAACCCAGAAGCGACTTTCCTCATTCAAAACATTGGTTAAATATCGTTTTCAAAATTTTCGAATTTTTTCCAAGGGGCTCCCCTATAAAATTGTGGGTTTTCCTAATTTCCGTACTTTTGCCCCTTACGATAGCCATAGCTCTGCCAATTTGTATCCGATCAGGAAACAAAGTACCATTCACTAATCAGCGAACCCAGGGGCGACTTTCCTCATTCAAAACATTGCTTAAATATCGTTTTCAAAATTTTCGAATTTTTTCCAAGGGGATCCCCTATAAATTTGTGGGTTTTCCTAATTTTTGTACTTTTGCCCCTTCCAATGGCCATAGCTCTGCCAATTTTTATCCGATCAGGAAACAAAGTACCATTCAGTAATCAGCGAACCCAGAAGCGACTTTCCTCATTCAAAACATTGCCTGAATATCGTTTTCAAAATTTTCGAATTTTTTCCAAGGGGCTCCCCTATAAAATTGTGGGTTTTCCGAATTTCCGTACTTTTGCCCCTTCCGATGGCCATAGCTCTGCCAATTTGTATCCGATCAGGAAACAAAGTACCATTCAGTAATCAGGGAACCCAGAAGCGACTTTCCTCATTCAAAACATTGCTTAAATATCGTTTTCAAAATTTTCGAATTTTTTCCAAGGGGATCCCCTATAAATTTGTGGGTTTTCCTAATTTTTGTACTTTTGCCCCTTCCGATGGCCATAGCTCTGCCAATTTTTATCCGATCAGGAAACAAAGTACCATTCACTAATCAGCGAACCCAGGGGCGACTTTCCTCATTCAAAACATTGGTTAAATATCGTTTTCAAAATTTTCGAATTTTTTCCAAGGGGCTCCCCTATAAAATTGTGGGTTTTCCGAAATTCCGTACTTTTGCCCCTTCCGATGGCCACAGCTCTGCCAATTTGTATCCGATCAGGAAACAAAGTACCATTCAGTAATCAGCGAACCCAGAAGCGACTTTCCTCATTCAAAACATTGCCTGAATATCGTTTTCAAAATTTTCGAATTTTTTCCAAGGGGCTCCCCTATAAAATTGTGGGTTTTCCTAATTTCCGTACTTTTGCCCCTTACGATAGCCATAGCTCTGCCAATTTGTATCCGATCAGGAAAGAAAGTACCATTCACTAATCAGCGAACCCAGGGGCGACTTTCCTCATTCAAAACATTGGTTAAATATCGTTTTCAAAATTTTCGAATTTTTCCAAAGGGCTCCCCTATAAAATTGTGGGTTTTCCGAATTTCCGTACTTTTGCCCCTTCCGATGGCCATAGCTCTGCCAATTTGTATCCGATCAGGAAACAAAGTACCATTCAGTAATCAGGGAACCCAGAAGCGACTTTCCTCATTCGAAACATTGCTTAAATATCGTTTTCAAAATTTTCGAATTTTTTCCAAGGGGATCCCCTATAAATTTGTGGGTTTTCCTAATTTTTGTACTTTTGCCCCTTCCGATGGCCATAGCTCTGCCAATTTTTATCCGATCAGGAAACAAAGTACCATTCACTAATCAGCGAACCCAGAAGCGACTTTCCTCATTCAAAACATTGGTTAAATATCGTTTTCAAAATTTTCGAATTTTTTCCAAGGGGCTCCCCTATAAAATTGTGGGTTTTCCTAATTTCCGTACTTTTGCCCCTTACGATAGCCATAGCTCTGCCAATTTGTATCCGATCAGGAAACAAAGTACCATTCACTAATCAGCGAACCCAGGGGCGACTTTCCTCATTCAAAACATTGCTTAAATATCGTTTTCAAAATTTTCGAATTTTTTCCAAGGGGATCCCCTATAAATTTGTGGGTTTTCCTAATTTTTGTACTTTTGCCCCTTCCGATGGCCATAGCTCTGCCAATTTTTATCCGATCAGGAAACAAAGTACCATTCAGTAATCAGCGAACCCAGAAGCGACTTTCCTCATTCAAAACATTGCCTGAATATCGTTTTCAAAATTTTCGAATTTTTTCCAAGGGGCTCCCCTATAAAATTGTGGGTTTTCCGAATTTCCGTACTTTTGCCCCTTCCGATGGCCATAGCTCTGCCAATTTGTATCCGATCAGGAAACAAAGTACCATTCAGTAATCAGGGAACCCAGAAGCGACTTTCCTCATTCAAAACATTGCTTAAATATCGTTTTCAAAATTTTCGAATTTTTTCCAAGGGGATCCCCTATAAATTTGTGGGTTTTCCCAACTTCCGTACTTTTGCCCCTTCCGATGGCCATAGCTCTGCCAATTTTTATCCGATCAGGAAACAAAGTACCATTCACTAATCAGCGAACCCAGGGGCGACTTTCCTCATTCAAAACATTGCTCAAATATCGTTTTCAAAATTTTCGAATTTTTTCCAAGGGTCTCCCCTATAAAATTGTGGGTTTTCCGAATTTCCGTACTTTTGCCCCTTCCGATGGCCATAGCTCTGCCAATTTTTATCCGATCAGGAAACAAAGCACCATTCAGTAATCAGCGAACCCAGAAGCGACTTTCCTCATTCAAAACATTGCTTAAATATCGTTTTCAAAATTTTCGAATTTTTTCCAAGGGGATCCCTTATAAATTTGTGGGTTTTCCTAATTTTTGTACTTTTGCCCCTTCCGATGGCCATAGCTCTGCCAATTTTTATCCGATCAGGAAACAAAGTACCATTCAGTAATCAGCGAACCCAGAAGCGACTTTCCTCATTCAAAACATTGCCTGAATATCGTTTTCAAAATTTTCGAATTTTTTCCAAGGGGCTCCCCTATAAAATTGTGGGTTTTTCTAATTTCCATACTTTTGCCCCTTCCGATGGCCATAGCTCTGCCAATTTGTATCCGATCAGGAAACAAAGTACCATTCAGTAATCAGCGAACCCAGAAGCGACTTTCCTCATTCAAAACATTGCCTGAATATCGTTTTCAAAATTTTCGAATTTTTTCCAAGGGGCTCCCCTATAAAATTGTGGGTTTTCCTAATTTCCGTACTTTTGCCCCTTACGATAGCCATAGCTCTGCCAATTTGTATCCGATCAGGAAACAAAGTACCATTCACTAATCAGCGAACCCAGGGGCGACTTTCCTCATTCAAAACATTGGTTAAATATCGTTTTCAAAATTTTCGAATTTTTTCCAAGGGGCTCCCCTATAAAATTGTGGTTTTTCCGAATTTCCGTACTTTTGTCCCTTCCGATGGCCATAGCTCTGCCAATTTGTATCCGATCAGGAAACAAAGTACCATTCAGTAATCAGCGAACCCAGAAGCGACTTTCCTCATTCAAAACATTGCCTGAATATCGTTTTCAAAATTTTCGAATTTTTTCCAAGGGGCTCCCCTATAAAATTGTGGGTTTTCCGAATTTCCGTACTTTTGCCCCTTCCGATGGCCATAGCTCTGCCAATTTTTATCCGATCAGGAAACAAAGCACCATTCAGTAATCAGCGAACCCAGAAGCGACTTTCCTCATTCAAAACATTGCTTAAATATCGTTTTCAAAATTTTCGAATTTTTTACAAGGGGCTCCCCTATAAAATTGTGGGTTTTCCGAATTTCCGTACTTTTGCCCCTTCCGATGGCCATAGCTCTGCCAATTTGTATCCGATCAGGAAACAAAGTACCATTCAGTAATCAGCGAACCCAGAAGCGACTTTCCTCATTCAAAACATTGCTTAAATATCGTTTTCAAAATTTTCGAATTTTTTCCAAGGGGCTCCCCTATAAAATTGTGGGTTTTCCTAATTTCCGTACTTTTGCCCCTTACGATAGCCATAGCTCTGCCAATTTGTATTCGATCAGGAAACAAAGTACCATTCACTAATCAGCGAACCCAGGGGCGACTTTCCTCATTCAAAACATTGGTTAAATATCGTTTTCAAAATTTTCGAATTTTTTCCAAGGGGCTCCCCTATAAAATTGTGGGTTTTCCGAATTTCCGTACTTTTGCCCCTTCCGATGGCCATAGCTCTGCCAATTTGTATCCGATCAGGAAAGAAAGTACCATTCAGTAATCAGCGAACCCAGAAGCGACTTTCCTCATTCAAAACATTGGTTAAATATCGTTTTCAAAATTTTCGAATTTTTTCCAAGGGGCTCCCCTATAAAATTGTGGGTTTTCCTAATTTCCGTACTTTTGCCCCTTCCGATGGCCATAGCTCTTGCAAATTCAAAATTCTGCCAAGTTTTTTATTAAAAACATTATGTAAAAAAACTATTACAGAAATATCAATATACACACAAAATATATTTTACGTCGTCGAGAGGTTTTTTAGTTGATTGGTTTAAGCCCTGAAAACATAAGCCTCATAAAAGCATGCTACGATTTCAATAAATTTGATTCTAATGATTAGAATTAAGAGTTGAATGCACTTCAAAAATTCCAATTACGTCGAGAAAGTTGTAAATAGGAGAACAACGATACAAAAGCATTGTAATGGAAACAAAAGTTAAAGTATCAATGGTTATTCCTGTGTTTTCCCAGCATCCATTAGGGGGTCTGGTTGGCTATAAATATCCACTCTCTCGGTCCAGATCTCAAACTTGTCGATCCCGAACAGATACCATAAACAAAATGCGCTGTGCGCTGGCTTTTTTCTTGGCTGTTTTAGCCACGATTCTCGTCCTGAGTCTGCCGCCCTCCGATGCCGCTTCGTCATCATCGTCTACCAGTTCTTCCGCTACGACCACGACAGTCTCTTCGACTACCACAACAGATACTACCACCACCACCGAGTCCTCCTCCACAACAACAAGTACCAAAACCAAAAAGAAGCATCACCACCGCCGTCGACGTGTTATCATCCGCCGTGTGGTCGTCCGCCGGGGTGAAGAGGGCGGCAAGGATGGAACCAAGAAACGCCGCCGTGTCGTAGTCCGTGTACGCAGGACAGTCAACTAAAAACCACGGTTCAATAATGGCTATTAATTATATTTTGTGTATTTATCTAAAAAAAATAATAAAGCTGTTGCATCGTGAATTAATTTTGTCTTTAAATAGAAAATGTTTGTTAAGCGTTAGGACTTTGGACTTTTTAAAACAGAAAATGCTTAGATATATACACTCAAGATTTCAAAGTCAGACAAATATAAAAATTTATAAAATAAAATCCAAAAAAATGTGCAAAAGCTACAAAACTCCGATGTGCGGCTTGATGATTTTCGGAATGTTTATGATGATGATACCAGCAATATTTTTAATTTTGTTATCCCCACAAGGTATTTTTAAGTGAAGATCAAAAACTGTCCCAAATATTGAGTAGCAATTTTTACCTATATTAGTGAAGGAAAAACAGTCATGGGATTGGTTTATCTCATATGGAATTCTACTTTTGTGGCCCGTATACCATTTATTTTTTATTTTAGTTCTAATCGCCTGCCAAAAAGTAATTGTTTTACTATCCATTTTGCATAAAATGACGTGTAATACAATGTTTATTTTTATTTAAGCCTTTTTTAAATGGTATGATTCCGATAACTTTCACATGGCTTGTATTCGGTCACCTTATTTGCCTTTATCTATTGCTGAACGCCTCTCATTTCCTAAGCTGGTACAAATTTCCAACACATACAGGAGCAAATAGCCCTGGAAAAAATAATAGATTGTATTATGATCGAGACGATATGTGGTGGATTTTTGTTTCCTTTGGTAAGTTTTCTATATATCCTTGATTTCTTATAATTAAATCATTTCGTTTTATAGCTTTTACCTGGTTTAGTTTTACGTTACAAATAGCATATAGTATGCACATAAGAAATCTATATGGACTTACCAGTTTTGGATGTCGATCTCGATGAGCTTGCAGGAACCTTGGGTTTTGAATTTACATATATTAAAAGAACAGAAAAGATACTTTTTTGAGAAAGAGAAATCTGGTTGTACTTCCCATTTTAAAAGTATGTCGGAAACCTCGACCCTGACTATTCCTTAGCTTGTAATAGAAGAGGCCATGCTGTATTGTATATCATTACTAAAGTAAAAGTTAGCCAAGCGTAAACTATAAATACAAAAATATTAACCTAATGATTTTCATTCAAATTACCAACTTACTTTCGCCGAAAAGGATCCATCCGATTTCGGGATACTTGTAGGAATGTTCGTAGTGTTTGCATTTTTTTAAAAGTTGGAAAGACAAGTCCGGGAAGTCGTACCAATGCACAGAATTCACGAACCCACAGTTGAGAAGTAAAAAGATGAGAGTTATATGGGATACTACTATCCAGACAATAGCACTCACGCGAGGTAATTTTGGATATCGCTGTAATTGGATCCTATATTAACAAACTTAACACTATAAAACAATATAATTAATTACGTCTGCCAATAATATTGTGACTATCAATACAAAAGTAAATACTGGCCATAAAGAAATAATCAAGAACGCCATTAAAGTTTGATAAAATGGGCGCCCCTCGCCTTGCAGATTTTTTCATATTTATAGAAAATAAAGGCATTTATTAAAATATTTTCTTAAAAATAAGATTGCTTTTCAAAATATCTGTTATTATAGAAAGTATAACATCTTTGGCATATGAACCTTGGGGGGCGAGAAAAAGAATCAATGGTAGCATCATATAAATGGACAGGAGAGCAGTCACGCTTAATTTTAGAATTAAAAGGTTTGAAACCATTTTTGAACTTTGACAAATTACTGAAACAATTTAGACCTTGACTAACAAATCTTGAAAAGCCTGTTTGATCTTAAAGCAAAAATCACATTGAAACTTTAATATTAGTTATTTTTTTTATCTTTAGTTTTAAACTTTTTATTTAAGAAAAGACATGTGACAAAACTTAACCCCTGCGGCGTTTGGTCTTCTCAGTTGTAGCATGTCTATGGACCTTTTTCTTGATGATGATGCGCCTTCGTCTTCGGCGATGGACTGTTTTTTTGGTGGTGTTTGGTGTTTTGGTTGTGGATTTTGTTGTTGTGGGAGCTAACGTAGTTGTTGTAGTATCAGTTCCTGTACCGGTTCCGGTACCTGTACCTGTGCCAGTTCCAGTTCCTGTACCTGTTCCTGTACCTGTACCAGTTCCTGTACCTGTACCAGTTCCTGTACCTGTACCAGTTCCTGTTGTAGCTCCGGAAACCTTGGGTACCACGTAGATGGCCAAAACAGCCAGAGATATTGCCAGTAAGAGTTTCATTATAAAATATTAGTCCGACAGACGGTTGGAAACTGTGAAAAAACCATATCTACCCACTCTATTTATATTTTTTCAATCACAGGTGCAAATCTATCACATTGCGTCAATGCGAGTGGAAAATTTTAAAACTTGTAAATTTAACTATATACATATAACGTTTATTTAAATCCACTTGTCACAATTTTTAGCTAGATATAATATTAACCTTTCTTTTAAATATTTTTATTTAGCTATTCTTTTGATATGTGTTTGCTTTTCCAAATATTTACAGTCCTTTGGCAGCTGTCTGCACCACCCAGTTAGGGAAATATTGACGCTCCATAAATATTTTTGTATTCAACAGAATCTCTTTTATTATCTCTTAGCAACTATATTTAGACAATGATATAATATACAAAGTCTTTTAAATCTAAATTTGTTTTCAAGTATAAAATGTAATTAAATTAGATGTAAATTTGTTGTTATGCAAAAATGCCATTTAACTGGTCAAACTTCGTGAAAATGTTTAAAAGTAAATTTTAGTATCTCCCATAATTTTAAAGTAAATAGAAAAATGATCCTTACTAGGACATAGGTGTACAAAAATACCCCAAAATAGTGAATACATTAAAACTGTTATAGAAATGCAAGGACAAATTTTAAATCTTCAAATTCATTTTATTTTGTCTGCTCAAGGGGACTATTTAAATTTAAAAAAATGATTTAATCAGCCCCTTTCACGCCTCCTTTCGCCGGCAGCACGTCTGTGGATAATTCGCCGCCTGATAATGCGGGGCCTTCTGTGGCGGTGCACAGTCGCAGGTGCCGGTGCTGTGGTGCTTGTTGAAGTTGTGGTTTCAGTTGTTGTTGCATCAGTTTCTGTTCCGGTTCCAGTACCTGTACCTGTCCCACTTCCGGTTCCTGTCCCAGTGGCGGTTCCGGTTGCGGAGGGTACGTAAGGAGCCATATAGATGGCCACAAGAGCCAATGTTAGGACCAGATAAGCCTTCATTTTGAATCTGGTTCAATGTATAAACTATTACTGGCCAGAGGTTGTTGATTCCCTTCAATTTATAGTCCGCACCCTAGTGTAAAGCTAATGAAAGTGCGTAAAAGTTGCGGAAAGTTTTCAGACTTGTAATACAACAATAGCTGGATAAATATGCGACACCTTCGACTTTATTGGTCTACATTTCACCTGTTCTTGTCTACAATATTTTTTTGTGCTTGTTTAGAAATTTGTTATATCATTTTTTGTGTCAATATTATCTTCAGATCTTTTGTTGATTAACAGTACTATTATTTCGCACTTAGCTATACACCGAACGAAATTTTTGTGATAAAATTGACGGACACATTTTTTTGACTAAAATTTAGACATATGTATGTATTTTATATAAATTTTTACCCTAAAAGTAGATTACATTCTTGCTTGGTCATGTGCTCTTCTTTCGGGCTTTACCTTATTAAGTATTTTTAAAGTAGTTTTTAAGATGCTATATGTTAGTATCCCTGATAGAAGATATCCATTGACAAAACAAATAAATAAATGAATGAGTTATTTAATATTATTGAGCTATTTAAATCGGTTACCTTTATTTTAAAACTCTTAAATCTCTTTTGCAAACTTCTTTCATGAAATGCTACTATATTGCGTTGTTTCATTTCTTTTGTTCTTTTGTGTTTCAACTAATTTTTAAATAAAGGTGGAGCTCCCGCCATCTTAAGAAAGAAATGTGTTTCAGCTATTGTCTGTAATTTCTTTTGTGACAATAGCAGTTTGGCACAAAAATAAAATAATGTGATTACTACATACATTGTTCAGTAGTTGGAATTTCCAAAGTCAGTGGGAAGCATATTTGGTCCGCAAACATTTAATATCTGGCAGATCATATGAGGCTGGAGAGTCTTTAACTATAAATAGTCGGCATTTTTCTACCGTTAAGACATTCCAAAGTTAAACCCAAAAGAGAAACCAAGATGCGTCCAATCCTAGCGCTATCCCTGGTCATCCTGGCCTCATTCATTGCGTTGTCCCGGCAAGCCTCGACTCCCGCCTCGTCATCAACGCCGAGCTCCTCGTCTCCCTCGTCTAGTTCAACTCCTAGTTCGTCATCTCCAACCAGCTCATCACCCTCGAGCAGCTCCTCCTCAGATACCGCAACCACAACCACCACAACAACCACGACAACCACAGCAGCCACCACCACAACCGAAAAATCCAAGAAGCATCGCCGCCGCCATCGCCGTCGTCGTATCATCATCATCCGTCGGGAACGCGGGGATCGCGATGGCGAGGGTCGCCGCAGAAACCGCAGGCGCGAAGATGGCGAAAGCAGCGGAAGCGGAAGTGGCCGCATCGTGAGGCGTGTTCGCGTCCGTGAGCGTCGCTTCAGGCGTTCGGGACGTCGTTTCGCTTAAATTCTCAACCCAAACTCGAAATAAATCACAAAACTCAGCAGAAAATGATAAATAATTTTTTTTATTAAAATAACTCCAAATTTTGTGAGCAAGCCTAGAATGGAGGCTTCTCAATTCCACATTCATCGGGCTTTTTGAAAACCAATGCATACGCGAGAACAGGATGCACATTTCCTACTTCCGATGCCGTCGAAAGGAGGGAGTGTGTAGAAGGACTCTCCATAAACAGCATCTCAGCATCAAACTTGCTCCAACGTCCCATTCTAAGCTGCTCCTTAACATACTTAACTTGGTCGTTAATCTGGAAGATAACATTTTTCAGTGACTAATCGTATTGTAAAATAATCCATATTACCATAGGCACTAGCAGGGGAGTACGGCAACAATTAAAAAAGTCAGCCACAAATTTCCGGATATCTTTAGGCTGGGGTTTAGCATTCAGAGCTTGATGCAGTATAACCCGGATTATGGCTCGAATCTTAAATGACAATCAAAAGATACATATGTATATGCAAATAGAATAAATTTATAAAATAAGAACCTCGGGGTGCTGACAAAGGTATTCCCAATTGCCGCGGCGCAATTCCTTTTGAATGCTCGGTATGGATTTATAGTGTTTAATGGCCTGAGAGTCCCATGTGCCAAGATCCCAGATTTTGTTAAAGTTGGGCTTATGAGCATTCGCCATTCTCAAAAATTTTTCTTGCTTACAGTAATTTAGATAATAAACAAACAACAAAACAAAAGAATTGAAGTTAGAGCAAATGCCCACTAAAAATTTTAATTGGTTAAAACTTCACATTAGGATTGAAAAAAGTATCTGGTAATATCTTGTCATTTTTCTCAGTTTTTCTTAAAAAATTTACCAAAAAAATTTAATGCCTAAATTTATTAAATTATGAACTTTGTTTTATTTTTTTCAGTCTTTGTGTCCATCATACAAGGCTACTTATTCTATATTTCGACTCCTAAATATGATATACCTGCCACGTGGAATCGGAACTACGGTGCAGAAGATGTCGTAAGAGAAATCAATGCGAAGCGAGCTTATGTTGAATTCCCCCAATTGGTATTTTCAGCATCGCTTTCCGAAGAATGCAAGATTTATGCAGACGTAATGTTATGTCCGATTATCGTTAAAATTATCAGCAAAAATATTAAAACCAGGTTTCTTATTCTCAGTTGTTGTCTGATATGAACATTCCGGCACAGAGAAATTATTTCGTGGAAGCGAAAAGAAACTATATGTGTGATCAAATGGGTTATAAACTAAATGATAATCTGAACACTACAATTACTGAAAATATTTGCGAATATGATTTTCCAAAGCATTTTTTCGTCGAATATTGGTATACGTTTGGACGTAAGGCCTATATGTGCCCTGTAAAAGAGAAAAATCCCGAAATCAAGTCATTGGCCGATAAATATACTGCAATGATGTGGAAGTCTTCACAATATATTGGTGTAGCAATAGTCCCTAAAAACAAGGCGTAAGAAATTAGTTTTTTTTAATAACTAATAATAGTAATAAATATAAACGGTATACAAACAGAGAAAAATACACGAAAAGACTCGTGGTGGTAAGATTTCACCCACCTGGTAATCAATATGGCGAGTTTGAGCAAAATGTCCCATTAGCTACTCATGGAAATTGGGCTACAAAAGCTAATCGACACTTCATTATTGAGCTAATCCTGATTTGTTTCTGGACTGCCGTAATATTTAATGTACCTTTATATGTCTGAGCCACCATGCAACGGATTGGATTGCTTTTCAATATATTGGATTGGATTGCCTTAACCAGGCCTCATTAATCCTAATCGTTGAGATCCAATTTCCTCTATAAGGAGGCAATATATGGACAATCCTATCCGAACGAGTCGTTGGATAGTGGAACCAAAGGTAAGGCCAAGGACGAAGTTATGTAATTATAATGAATATGAATTTGTTCATCGAATTATCCGGCTTATAGATTTTATTCAGCTGACAAGGTTCCTAAGGTGATGGACTGAAAAATTTACTGCAATGATGTGAAAATCTTAAATGTTGGTACATGGCAATCAAAATCTAATTAAACCACATTGAATAGAATGTGCTTTTGGACTGTGGCTATTTTAAAAGATGAGACATCGAGTAAAAATTTCCTGTATCATATGATGTACATAGCTCTGTAAATATACTATGTAATAACGATTTTATTATTTCTGATATAAATATTTATACCCTTGGGGAGTGAATTTTTTTTTCACAAATTTGGGATGTTGTAAAGCTGGGACTTAGAATGCAGTATGTCTCGGACTATGACTCCAATATAAAAGGACATGGAAAGTACTCAAAATACATAAGGCCATTTTCTGAAAATGATCAACCAGGATCGAAAATTTTAGTTTTAAATCATTGAATTGTGTGTAATTATAAAGAATTGACAAATTTTTCATAATGCAACAGTTTTATAAAATATCTCAGCTGTTTTAATAGAAATATTAGCTTGTAAATTTAATTATTTTTAACGGCATTATGTAAATATATACTTTATACTTTGTACAAAATATCTTTATTATGGTCCCACAAGAGAAGCTTAGTTAAAGTGTGGGGGGAAGAGATAGGTCTCTTGGAAGATAATACAGTCGGGAAACTCGAGAACAGCCGTGTTTTCTTGTTGTTCTAGCTTACCCATATCCCACTTCTAGATAACCCATATGGGTTATGTCTATATTGCTACTTAAAAATTAAAAACAAGGTAATGGTTAAAATTTCACAATATGTAAAAAAGTATCAGGTAATATCTTGTCAAAACTCCAAAAATTTAACAAAAAAAATGTGATAAAATAAATTTATTAAAATATGAACATTGTTATATTCTTATTAGTCTTCGTGGCCATTGTACAAGGTCACTCTTTTAGTCCTTCAATTGATATACCTACAAAGTGGAATCGAGACTATGGGGTGGAGGATGTCGTGAATGATATCAATAATAAACGAGCTTCGGTTGGCTACCCCACATTGACACTTTCAAAACCGCTTAGCATCGAATGTAGCCTTCATGCAGGCGTAATAATATCGGCGCAAATATTGACAAAAATATTAAAACACGGTTTTTTACTCTTAGGCTCTGGTGCTTATGAACATTCCGGATCAGAGAAGCTATATCGTAGATGCAAAAAGAAACCGTATCAGTGATCACATGGCTTACAAACTAAATGATGATCAGAACACCACAATTGCTGAAAATATTTGTGAATACGATTACCCCAAGCATTTTTTTGTCGAATATTGGTATACGTTTGGGCAAAAGGCCTATGTATGTCCTGTAAAGGACAAAATTCCCCAAGTTTTGTCATTGGGACGTAAATATTCTGCAATGATGTGGAAGTCTTCACAGTTCATTGGTGTAGCAATAGTCGATAAAAAAGAAGAGTAAGTAATTATGAGTTCTTTCCAATAATTAATAAATATAATATAAATCCTATACTCATAGTCAAAAGCTTACAAAAAGGCTTGTAGTGGTAAGGTTTCACCCACCTGGTAATCAAGTTGGCGAATTTAGCAAAAATGTCCCATTAGGCGATAATAAAACTAATGGGGCTTCAAAATCTGGTTGGCAACGTATTATTGAGCTAAGCCTGATCTGTTCCTGGATTATCGTAATTATCAATGTGCCTTTATTTGTCTGAGCCAACATCCAACGGATTGGATTACTTCCCAACATATGAAGTGTGTAGGGCTGCCCATATATTACGTAATTAATCATTTTTAAATGTTTGAACCCGGCTTAACTTTTCAAATTTCTAGCTCCATTATTGGGCAGACCTAATTACCACTATTAGGAGGTAATATATGGGCGATCCTATTCTAACTTTCCGAACTAAAGGTAAGGCTACGGGCGAAGATTCGAAATTGGAAAAACCAGATGAAAGGGTTCCTGATGTGAGAAAAATGACTGTTAAATTTACTGATATGATGTGGAAATCTTCTCCAAAGACTGTAGATAAATTTCAAGGTATTGTTACAAAAAATGTCGTTGTGGTAAAACTAATTCCTCCGAGCAATCAACATGGAAAATATTTGTATTTAGAAAATAAAATAAAAGATAAAAAGCTACCAATGAAATGAAATGAATTCTGTATGAAATCCGCTACAGAATCCGATAGAAATTATTTTGTCACATTGAATATAATATTTTATTGAACTAAAATAAACTTAAGTTAATAAGTTTATTTAAGTAAGATATCAAGTAAGAATTTACTGCCATCATATAATGTGTACAGATCTTTTATAGGTAATTTTAATTTATTGGTAATTATGCAACCTAAGTAGGCGACAAATAACCTTTTTCGATTTAAATCTATTACTAAAAAATATACAATAAAATGCTATTTAAATATAAAATAATATGTAACTTTTTTTAAACCTAATCGTTTTTTCTTCTAGCCAAGTATTCGATACTTTCATAAGTCATGTTATCGAATTTGGCGAACGGCCACATTATCGGGACTTCCCCTAAATACAGAGACTTTCGCTAATCTATATTGTCAATATTAACGATATAAATAGAGTTTAATACAAATTGTACAAACCAGTTTTCATCATTAATAATGACTTGTCATTATTTTGAAAAATTTAAGCAATATTTGGCTTTAGCGGTACTGCGGGATTTTTTAGTTGGTTATCAGAGCTAACCGATAGCATTTGGGGGAAAATTCAATTCGGCATCTGGCAACACTGAAAGAAAATTTCTGGACGAAAATTGTTGGATTTCCGCTTTCAATTAACAATAATGAATTAATTAGCACTCGAATTAGGACAAGCCCGCGACCTACAAATAAAGCTCAACGACCAGGCAATAGAGAGCAATGGTAAGCTGTTAAGAAGTCGCAGAAATATGGAAAATTGGATATTTAGAGGCCTGCCGGCTTGCCGGAACGATAAAAAAAACACATAATACCGTAATATTGAACCAAAAATAGAACGGAGCAAAGTGGGCCAAAAATAGACAACACATGGGCTCCCTACAGAACATACCTGACCGACCTCACTTCTAATTTTTCAGGCCGTACTGGGCGCACAACTGGTTATCACCCTGGTGATGGTCAGCGTCATTCAAAAGCTGAGTCCGCACTACTCATTTGCCAAATGGATCCTCTGCCGAACCGGACTTTTCCGCTACTTACATCCCACAGATGACGAGCTCCGCTCCCGCGGTGGCGTGCCCAAGGAGAAGCCAGCCAAGGGATCTCGAAACAAGCATGCAAATGGCTCGGGAACTGTGAGCGCATCGAGTGGACAATTTCATATTCCTCGCAGCATTGAGGTCGACCTGGAAACCTCTCCAGTGCTGGAGCGTGACGTGGTTCACCTTCGCTACTTCACAGAGTACCAATGGCTTTTAGACTTCAGTGTCTATACCGGCATTGTTTATCTGGTATCGGAGGTGAGTTCCAAAACCTAAACAACTTAAATAACTTCGTTATACAATCATACTATTTCTGGCTGCAGATTTTCCATTTCTATTACCCGCTACGCCAGGAGATCAACCTAAGCATGGTCTGGTGCCTTTTAGTTATCTTCTTCGCCCTGAAACTCCTGTTCTCACTCACAGTGCTATACTTCCAAAGCGACGAATCCATCGGCGAGCGGTCGATGGTGATTGTAGCCTATCTGGTATACCTTCTAGTGGCCATGATGGTGCTCATCGTCGACGAACGCATCCTGGAGACCGGCCTCGAGGATGCCTACACCAGCTTTAACGCAAGTGCCTCCAAGTTTCTCACCGAGCAGGGATTGTCTTCATCGTGAGTTACCAATGTGAACTCCCAGTTCAGTAATATTTTTATAAGATATGTATTTTTTTAGGGGTCCCGCTTCTAAGATCGTGGTAAAATTTTTCTTAGCCTTGGGCTGCGGTCTGCTCGGATCACTGTTCACTTTTCCTGGCCTTCGTATGGCCAAGATGCACTGGGATTCCCTAAAGTACTGTCGTGGCAACCGATTGCTACAGGTCCTGCTGAATCTCAGCTTCGTGCTGCCCTTTATCCTAGTCATCCTGTGGATCCGGCCTATCAGCCGCGACTACCTAACGGTCCGCGTCTTCCAGGGCATGCAGGAGCCACTGTAAGTTGTGTGCAACCTTAAGGGTATTATGTTTTAAAGCACATTTACATTTAATATTTATTTCAGACTAAAGCCTCATGTTTTTGAGACACTGCGTCTCCTGTTGGTTGTATTCGTGGTGCTGGTTCGCTTTGCTCTTATGCCTATCTACTTGCAGTCGTACCTGAACCTGGCCCACGACAAAATCCTTGATCTACGCAAAGAGGCGGGCCGCATCACCAACGTAGAGTTCAAGCAAAAGGTAGTTAAATAAGACAAAAATTGTAAAATCGCATTTTAAACATTCATTTTTTCCAGATCTCGTCGATTTTCTATTATCTCTGCGTTGTGACGCTGCAATTCGCGGCCCCCCTCATTCTGTGCACGTATCTCACTCTGATGTACAAGAGCTTAGGTGGATTCAGCTGGACAGGAATATTCCGGGAGAGTGTTGTCCTACAGCACGAGTGTGCCGCCAGGGATGTAGAGTCTTCAGTAGCTGATTCAGAAGAAGTAGGCGAATTCAACATACTGGAATCGGCCCAATCGCTACAGGCGTCGTTCAGCAGCTTGAAAAACGTAAACCTTATATGCACCTACAGGATCTATTCCAGAGACTAACTCTTTATAATTATAGGTATTTTCCACGGAAGTTTACAAGGGCTTTTTGGGATTCGCCACTTGGTGGAGCTACTTTACGCTATTCGCCACTTCCTCGCTGGGCATTGTCTACCAGTCCTACTTCAACAAGACCTAAGACAACTGAGCTTTACTCGACCCTAACATAAACTCGTAGTCAAATGAATTATGTTCTATAGTAGTTTATTCTTATCCCACATGCATTTGATATTGTTTTCTTGTGTATTCTTATAAGAACATCTTAGTTTTCACGTCGTATTGTAAATAATACTACTTCAGTCATTGTTTATCAAGTTTTGTAATAAAGACTTCTAACCACGCTGCCCTAAGAGTAACAAAATAATGCAACAATCCTGTTATTTAAAAAAAAATAGTAGAAGAAAACACATTGAATTTTGTTCGATTTGAAAACACCATTTTATTAGACCTTAAAGGTTGTGGTTTCTCGTAACAGACCACAGGCTTAGTAAATGTATTAGATATACTCTAGTTCTCCAATGGATAGTGCTAAATAGATAACTCCATACAATTGTTTTCCCCACATCTTGGGGATATTTATTTCTCGGATATCCAGTCAAGCTCATCGTTCATCCCCCACCCGCCGATTAGATTAGATCTTGGCGATTCCAATAACTCCGCATCCAATTCGGGCACCAGCATTGCCAGTGGACTTGCTCAGCTCGTGTCCGCCCTTGCCCAAATCGTCGGCATCGGCGTGGACAACCACGGTACGTCCAATGATGCTATCGGCACCGAACAGAGTGATCTTAGAGTCGCTGATGGTGACCTTGGTGGGGCAATCGCCAGTAGCCTCAATGTTTCCCAAGTCGCCCAAGTGGCGGTTCTCATCGCCAGGGGCACCGTGCTCCTTGCCGTGTGGGTTGAAATGAGGACCAGAGGACATGCAGCCGTTGGTGTTGTCGCCAAACTCGTGCACATGGAAGCCGTGCAGACCCTTGCCCAAGCCGCAAACCTCTCCGGTGACCTTCACGGGAGCGTCGCTGCTCTGTAAAAAATAAATAATATTTAAATTTAATTATTTTTGAGTTCCTAACCTTGCCGAAGGGTAATCAAAATCATTTCTAACAACTAGTGGTTTTTATCTCTCGGTTTATGATTAAAATAAGTTTTGTAATATAATTTCAATGATATCAGAGAAGCACTCTATGATAATGCTTGCTTTTTGATAAGATTATAATTGCCTGTAAGCATGACTTGTATGTATGTACAGTAGAACCTGCTTTAACATATCTTTAGGCGAATTTTAAAACATTAAAATGTTGATAATGAATACAAGGGAACCTATATTCTTGGACAGTGCTGTTGCAATGGACCAGGACCCTGTAGGCCCCCCATGTGCCCCCATGTTAGTGGACTTATATAATTATGCATTTGTTTGATGACTAGACATAAACCGCAATGACACTCAATTGAATGCTTGACGGAATTTTAAACAGTTTTAAAGCAAATGGAAGATCGGGTAGCGGAGGAAACCGGCACTTCGACCTTTAGTACCGCGACTCGTTGTTTTTGCAGTTCGGCCATTTTTTTCTAGAAAGATTTCTAGGGAAAACCACAGACAGAACATTAAACTAATAGTACTTGCCTCCTGCTCGAAGAAAACTGTGCCCTTGGCATCGCCATTAATAACGCAAACTGCTTTAACAACCATTTTCACGTCTTATTGATTTATGTATTTATCAATTAAAGCGAAGTGAGATTTGGATTAGTGTGACCGTGGCCAGACTTTTGGAATATACCAACATCCGGCCTTGGAAATATACTAAAATGTAGTATTTTTTTTTTTAATTATGATTTCGAATTTTATGGTGACCTTATGGTGAAGGTCCGATATTTTAACCATAATTAAATAGTTTATACACTATTTTATAGAAATTTAACTAAAAACTTTAAATATTTTTGAAGCTCTTAAAGTTTACTTATATTTTGAGTATAAAAAAAATGACAAATCCTTTCTAGAAATAATCAAGACCCGAATTTAAAATTACCATAACATAAAATAAATCATATATGAGTAATGAAATTTTAATGCCTTGGAAAATAGAAACAACAAAGTTGACATTTGATTTTTCGTTTTTAATACACAATTTGTCCAAACACTTAAATGGGATTTCTTCATTAATAAGAAATAATGTGCAATCATTTCCATCTTTATATAATGTTATTGTATCCGTAAATTTGTAGATATTTCTTAATAAGTTTCATCGTTTTTGTTTTTTGCTTGTATTTTAATATTTTTTTTTTATATATATCCATATATATATATATATATATATATTATATTTAAATCGATATAGGTAAAGGTATGTAGATAGGTAATAATATTCATTCGCCTGTTTGTTTGTTACTTGTGTGGTTGGGTTGCCTTGTTACATGATTTATACCCCAATTTTCTCACGCTTCTCTTACAATTCGGTCACATAGCTATAACATCTTAAACATCAATCATCAATTATCAATCATTACAATAATCAATCGTATATATCTATTTAATTTTGCTTTGTTTGCTTGCTGCTTTACCTTGCATTTAACTTAAAATTTAATATATTACTTAGAGAGTAGCGTCATCGAGCATATTGAATTCGTCAGATGTAAAGGGGGTTTTAAATCGTAGCTTCGAATATCGGGGGTTCGAAGTTCGAAAATCGAATTTCGAAAAAGTGTTGCATGGTTTTTGCCGCCGTTGAACGGTTGTACGGCCAACGATCTTAACACAATCTCACAGTTTTTACTTGTAAAATATTTCATATCAATTTTATACAAATCTCCGTTTAATCTTCTCATTTTTTTTTTCTTTGTATTTTTGAGGTGTGTGTTTTGTTGTGTTTTGATTTGTTCCTAAGAGTTTTCTTTTTGGGGAGGGGTATGGTGTGGTGTGGTGTTGGCAAATTCAATATACAAGATGGAGATACTTTTTTGTTTTGCTTTCTAATCATTTTTTTCTGCCCATGGGCCAACTATTTGCCCTTATTCTGCCGGTGCTTCTGGATCCGCACGCATCAGAGCACCTCGGACACGTACTTGGGTCGTTTGGGCACGGTGGCCTCGCTGGCAGTAGTAACGCACTCTTCCTCGCTTGCCTCAATGTGACCACTATAGTCGGTCGGCAGCTCCTCGTAAATAATCTCTGAATGCTGCTGCTGTTGCTGTTGCTGCGCCACCGCCTGTTGCTGCTGGTGCATTACATGGTTCCGCTTGACAGCAATCAAAGCTCCCACTCCACCATTGCCGGCCCCGCTGCCCTCCACATGTCCCTGAGTCACAGGCGCATTAGAGTTTTGATTGGTAACATAGTACGGACTGCCGCTGCTACAATAAATTGTAAATATTTTTATAAAAATTAATAAAAAAATAAATATTATAAAGCTCACCTGTACTGATTGGAATTATTGGACAGCGTTTGCTGTTGTTGTTGCTGCTGTTGCGGTTGCTGGCTCTGCTGTTGGTGTGCATTCTGAGAGTTGTAGATGATTTCTGCTAAAAATATATATATTTTCTTTATATTTTTTCATAATATTAATAATTTTTAGTGACTTAGTACCCGCATCATTGGCACGCTGTTCCAGCGATAATCCCGGTGATCCAGGGGCAGATTGTAGCACTATATCCTGCAGTGGGGAGCTCTCACGCGAGTTATCTATAGAATTAGTAACATAATTAGTTACAATACTATTTAGTCTAAAGCCTAGTCTAAAGAAACTAACCCATGTGACTGGGCGAAACGGGTGCCGAGCGGGGCATTCCGTAGGGTGGACGGAAGCCCTGGCTGCTTCGCTGACGACGCTTCTTATAGCTGTGATCGATCAACTTGGCTCCACTGTCGGGATCAATGCGCCAAAAGGAGCCCTTGCCGGGCTCATCCTGGGATCTGGCCACCTTTATGAAGTACCTTCAAAAACCAAACCAGATTAGATGTTAGATTCGCTCTAAATATTTCCAGTTTCCAATTACCTATTCAAACTGAGATTATGACGTATGGAATTCTGCCAACCCTTATTTGTCTCCTTGCGGTAGTACGGGTAGTGCTTGACAATGAACGAATAAATGCCCGAGAGCGTCAGTTGCTTGTCCGGAGCGGCGGATATGGCCTGGACAATCAACTGGGCGTAGCTGTACGGCGGCTTCTCGTTATGATTGTAGCTGGCTGTGGAGGGCGTCTGGAACAGCTCCTGCTACAGATCAGATATAATTTTAATAATAGGATCTCTATGGATTTTGTTGTAATATATAACTTACCGTATTGTTGTTACTGTAGTTGTTGTAGTTATTGGGCTGATTCTGGATGAATCCCTGACGTGGACTAGCCGGACAACTGTTGGCAGCGCTTATTGTACCTATAAGAGGAGAGATCTCGTTTATTAAAAAAATAACTAATATTAACTAATCCCCCCAAACTATTTTTAATTAATCACACCCCCTCTTAGCTACAATATATGAGATGTAATTCCACTTGCCAGTTGGTGACAGGTAGGGGCTTTTTTGCTCCTTCTTGGGTATGGATATCTTGAGGGGCGAGTAGATGCCGGGTCCGTCTGCAGCGATTAGGTGGGCCGCTGCTCCCGACGGTGGTGCCGCGACAATATTGCCGCCGCCTCCGCCGCGTTGTTGCTGCTGCTGCTGATGCTGCTGTAGAGCTGTGTGGTGAAGCGGGTGGTGTGTTGCATGCGGGAGTGGGTGGTGCGCTGGTTGCTGTTGCTGCAGCGTCAGGTGGTGCGCAGACTGTTGTGAGTGCGAGTGTTGTTGCAGCTGCTGCGGTAGCTGTTGTTGGGTGTGGTGCAGGTGCTGCAAATCGTCCCGCGGCGGCGGTGTTATTATAACATTGGCGCCGGGGCCAACGCCACCGCTCACAACAAGAGATGGCGAATGTCCATGGGCAATGTCTGATGGGGCGGCGGGCACATAACTCTCAAACTCGATTCGAATCTCCGTACTGGGGAATCGGAAGTAGCAACTGCAATACAAGAGAGGAGTTTAATTTAAATAATTTATTTTTTGGGAGATTTCTTACCGCTGGGGCAACCGCAACGGATCGACATTACGACGCTGCAAGAAGTCGTCCACAAAGATGCCATTCTTGCTGAGGCACTGGACAAAGAAGGCGTGCAGCTCGGTGTTGTAGATCACCTGGAAGTGCTTGCGCGACACCAGATTGTTCTCGGCAACATTAAAGTGCACCAACGAGGTGGAGGAGTTGCGTCCAATAATGGTTACGGTGTCCGTAATAGGCAGCACCTCCTGATTGAAGCGCAGCTCTCCATATGGCGGCGAGGATGATGACGATGATGATGAGGAGGCGGTGGCAGAGGCTGAGGCAACGGCGGAGGGGATTGTGGTGCTAGCAGGTGGGTGGTTTGCTGAATTGTTGTTGCTATTGCTAGACAGCTCGGCTGCGCTATTGCTGCTGCTGGTGCTGTTGTTGTTATTGTTTAGCGCCGCCGCTGCTGCTGCTGTTGTTGCTGCACCATGGTGCAGCTGCAACATGTCCTTGGCAATGGCAACGGTGGCGGCGTCAACGGCAGTCGCTGAGGCTGCAATGCTGGTGGGTGGGGTGTTTAGTACGGTGTGTACCGTTACTATATTGTTGTTGTTATTATTATTGTTATTGTTGTTGGCGTTGGCGCTGGCGTTGTTGTTGTTGTTGTTGCTGCTGCAATTGCCGGTGGTTGTTGCTAATGTTGTGGTTGTTGTTGTTGTAGTGGCGGCCATTGAAAGGTAATCGCACTTGTCCTATGCCTCCTTACAGTTTTTGTTGGCCTGTAAATTAATTTTTTTTAATTATTTATTTTTTTTTTTTCGATTTTAATTGATTTTTATTCATATTATTCAATCTCGTCAATTTTATCACATTGTTGGGGTGCATGTGTACGAGAATCTGAGTAAAATATTCATTTCTTTCCTCAAAACAAAATACCTTGATAACATTGAATATTTTATTTGATTAAAACACCGTTACGCCAATTTAGAAAACACATTTTTATCATTTTTTTCACAACTTTTCACGCGCTTTTCGTCGTCTTTTCGTTTTGGCCCCAAGGTTTCTTCTTTTCGTCAGCCACAAATTATTTTCCAAATACACACACACACACAACCAAACTCAAAAACACTCACATTCACACACACACTCATACACGCACACACACACCAAGTTGTCGATGCCTGATTCTGGTTGCCCTGCTGACTGGCAGTTTGTCTCCCTCGCACCTCCACCACTGCCCGCCGCCCCCACCAACCGTTGGCTCCAACCACTTCGTTTCTGTTTCGGTTTTTGCTTTACTGTTTTGCTACCGCAGCCGCACAAACACACATATCTACATATATGTATGTACACTTTGCTCGGCAACAAAAACAAGCCGATTGAAGCAACAACAATAATAATAATAATAACACAACTACTACTACTACGTCGCGGACACTACGTGAGTAAACACTCGCCTACACGTACACACCTGGGCCGGAGAGAGTGTAAAGGTAAAGAGAGAGCGGTATTTTTGCGAGAGACTCACGCTTGCGCTCTCCCGCTTTCCCGGGCATAGTGGAATGGAGTGGCGTATTGCCGGTGCAAAGCAACAGAAGCGCCAATGGAAAAGTCTCATCTCTCCAATCCTCCGCCTCACATGTATCCCTCTTGCGCTCTCTCTCTTTGGCAAGCTCCAAACTCTCCACAAACTGAGATGGTGGGGTTAGGTTAGGCCGCATTTTTCATCTTCAAGAGTGGCTAAGGGTCCTGCTCCAATCCAGTCCTTGGGATGTGGAGTAGTGAGATAGAGATCTTACTAAGGTCAGCTTAGATGGAGAGTTTCAGCCCTGGTTGACAGGATATTCTTAAGACCTATAGTTTAGTTCTATAAACACCGTTATTTTAATTCCTTCCGTTCTAGAGCTGTTCCGGAAGTTCATAGATTTTCTAGAAGACCTTTACGATAAGATATAGTTCCTGGAACATGTTCCTGGAATGTTTCCAGAGATTGGAAACAATTGAGAACTTGATCCTGCATATCGTTCCCCACCCCTAGGAAGGATCAGGCTTCATTCTTGATTGGAATTATGCTGATCTCAAGGTACCTGATCTCCTTTTTAGAATCCATAACAGAAACTAAGGAGTAGTGTTTACATTTTGTTTAGTTCTTATCAGAGTTCTCTTATACGATATAAGACCCTTGTTTATTCTGAAAAAACTGTATAGTAGAGCTACCAAGTTTCAAGTCATAAACCAGTGCCCCCCGATATGATAACTTTTTCAGAGAACTGCATGAAGCTGAGAGTACCTAGGCCACCATGCACCTGCCACACAGACTGCTTGCACTGGAATCCGACACAAGTTTATTTTTCTTGCATACTTTTGAAATGATCCCAAACGATGTATACGAGTCGGGGAATCTTCGAAAAATGATCTGGTTCTTGGGATGGGTGGTGGGGGGTTGGGGGTAAATAACAAAACAACTTTTTTTACGACACAATAAACATGAACGTTGGGAACTCTGCTCGGCTCCACAATGCACACACACACACATAGACAGTCGATGGTACTGCTGCTGGTTGCCGGGAACACACACGGACCTCGCAACTGAGAACTCTCGCCCTGGCAGCCCCACATGGCTCCCCATGAATCGATCGAGCTTGCATGCATAAACATGCAAAACGAAACCAAAATAAAATTAAAGAGAACAACAAAAGGCAAACAAACGCCCATACATACGGTCATATAAATAAACACACGCAACTCGTACATACATATATATTCTCGTATGTATGTATGTATTTATATTTTTGGGGAGTACATATACAACTCTGTCTGTGTGTGTGTGTTGGGGGGTACTCGTAACGGCAATAGCGAAAGAGAAACACAATAAATAAATAAAAACACCAAAATACACACGTATTGGAAATGCGTAAAAAATGCCGCTCGTTGATTTTTCAGCTAGCAACCGACCGACCGTCCGTCCGACCGACCGACCGACTCCACCTGCGCACACACACAAACAACCATATAGTTAAAAACACACAGACGACGGATGCCTGCCTTGTCTTGTTTGTCTCTTTGTAAACACAGAAAAAGCACACTTTTCACAATGCTGCTGCTGCTACAAGGCAGCCATAGCTGCTCTCTGGTTTTCGTGTTGGCTCGGCGATTGCGTAAACTTGCCGCCCGCTTTTTTTTTCCCACCTAACATCAAAATATGTACACACACTTGAGGCCAGCAATACATACAAGCCCCAGAGGCGTCAATGTTTGCGTGCGAGCGTGTTCCAAAATAAAAACTTAATTTTTATTTATGTGCCATTTGTTGGCTACTTTCCGTTTGCTTCGCTATTGATTCTATTATTACTAATTCTCGCTCGTTTGCTGTTTATATTTTCGCCGTTGGTTATCAAACGCGTACTGTTTTTGTTGTTCTTTTTGTTTTTTCATTCCTTTTTTTGCACACAACACGTTTTTTGCTGCTTGGTTGTGTGTGTATATTATTTTTTGGTTCGCCTTGTTTATTTTTATTTTTTCGTACCTTCTGGAAAACCTTTTTGCGTTCCGAATTTATTAAATATCGCGATCTAATATTAACACTCGTACTTGGGCAATAATTTTAAGCCGATTTGTGCACTTTACAGCGTTTTTAATGTGGTTTTCCCGATTCTTATTGCAGCACAGCGCGGCGAAGGAGAAGAAGAAGAGGCCGCAATTTTTTTGCTCAGCGAGTACCGTCTCTAGCGACTTGTCTACATTTTACATTATACATACGTTTTACATGGCTATTTAAAAAAAAAATAAATATCGAACAAATTCAAACCGATATAAATAACGATATTTTCTGTAAGTTTTAAATTTAAAATAAGCAGACTTTGAGCGGGAAATTAGGGCAAATATTAAAAAATAAATTCTTACTAAATATTATAATGCTAAACAAATTGTTCTTTCATTTTTATTACTAGTCAAACAATATTCTTGCTAATATTCTTATTCTTATATAAAAGATACGACTCTGAGGTGATACGACATAATATTAATTTGTACAATAAGTGACAGAAATGGTTATGATTAAAATAGAAGTCTATTTAAAATAAAATATAGTATAAGATAGTATATTGAAATACTTATATTAAGAACTTAAACCAAATTGTAAGTTCTTTCTTAGTTCATTTATTTCTTAAAAATATAATATTTTCATACCATTATATATCTTTGTTTTCAAAACACGTTTTTCGTAAAATATTTAACATAAATATATTTTTTTTTATTGAGTGTAGGGGGGTGTAACCTTGCTGGAGCTTAGAATTGGTAAACGGTTTGTACATGGGCAATATTTTTATACATGGCCAACCTATTGGGGCCTTCTTTTACCCAACGAGTACCATCATCGGCATATCTTGCAGCGCCATCTGGAATGTTGTATATCTAAAAAGTGGCAACTCTGTCACCTCGCTATGGAATCAGCTGTTGGGCTGCTTTCGATTTTGTAACAGTTTGGGTTCTATTTCTTAATTTTTATCTGTGAAAATGCAAAGTCTAACGCGGCTGCTTAACACCGCCCTCACCCTGCAGCCCATACAGCTAGCTGGCCGGGGAGTCGTGGGCCTGCAGCAGCTGCGCGGCAAAACGAAAGTGGTGGAGAAGCCGAAACCAGGTGCCGGCCAGCAATTCCGGCGGACAGTTCACTTTCCAGAAGAATACACGGTGGAGCCACTGAAGATCACTCATCTTGCGGGACGGGATCCCGTCTCCGGTCGCTTGGTGGCCAAGGGCATTGGTGGCGGTGTCAAGCAGCAGTACCGCTGGGTTAAGTGGGTGCGTGACGGTCCCGCTGAGGGATCGCCCCAGGAGGAGCTTGTCCTCGAGGTTCTGCGCGACGGCTGTCGAACCTCCAAGGTGGCTCTGGTGGCCGTGGGAGACGAGCTCAAGTATATCCTTGCCACTGAGAACATGAAAGCCGGTGACATCCTAAAGACCTCACGCGTAATCCCACGGATTCCTGGTAGGTTTACTTCCCCAAAGATATGGATTAATCTAATCAAATTTTTAACAGTGCGTCCTAATGAAGGCGATGCTTACCCTCTTGGAGCCCTGCCCGTTGGCACCCGCATCCACTGCTTGGAGAAGAATCCCGGCCAGCAGTGCCATTTGATCCACGCCGCCGGCACCTTTGGTACCATTCTGCGCAAGTTTGATGAGAAGGTAGTGGTGCAGTTGCCTTCCAAGCGGGAGTTTGCCTTTCACCGGACCTGCATGGCCACCGTGGGACGTCTATCGAACACGGAGCACAACAAGGAGCACGTGGGCAGCGCGCAGCGAATGAGGGAGCTGGGAAATCGGCCACGCTCTGGCCTGTGGAAGCGCAAGGAGGGTAAGCACGGCCGGAAGATACGACGCCTGCCGCCTATGACTACGATATCGCCACCTGCACCACCCAAGGAGGAGGCCATCAAGCTAACTCTGCCCCTGTGATCAGGAGGCTCTATTTTAATTTCTATGTGTCACACATTATACGGCTAGAACTAGAGCTATTTGCGCGTTTTCTTCATGGAAAAGCCGGTGCCCTGGAAGCTTTCACCATCGTCTCCATCGGCGTTCCCAGATCCACCAGCCTTATCGTTCCCTCTGTCGCTAATGGGCCGAATGTTGCGATCAAATCGGATTAAACCGAACTGGAAATCATAGTCGGGGACGCCGCGAGGCAAGACTTTCTTTAGCACCGGGGTCTCTAGCTGACTCTCCTTTTTCTTCTTGCCATCCAGACGCACGCCGGAACCCTTAAAAGTCTCCACTACTTCCTCCAGAACGGCATTAGCTGCCCCGGCCAGCTCACCACCGGCTGCTCCAGCGCCGGCGCCCTGCTGCCCTGAACCCGATGCCTGAGACTCTGACTGTTCCTTGTAACCAACCGGTGCCTCGAACTCCACATTCATGTCGCATTCGATGATGCTGACGGCATTGCCAGGCTTCGTCTCCAGGACGCACAGTTCGTAGACCTTTTTGTTGTACTTGATGGCAATAACGTCGCCCTTAGTGAGGCAGGCGAAGTTGCGTAGGGCGTTCTCCAGCACGGCTTTCGGATTGGTGATGTCCAGGAAGTCGGTGCTGTGAGGCTGGAATTTGGAGAACGTGGCCACCGGCAGCGAGACGCTCTCGATATTCAGAATGTCGCCCTCTTCTAGCAGAAGATTGTCCATCATCCAGTAGGGCAGATAGCACTTTCCCTCGTCGGCAACGAACTCCAGGACACCGGCGTGTGAGGATCGGGATTTCTTGCCATTGATAAGCTTGAACAGCATCGGGTATTCCACGTTCAAGCGAGTGAGAGTGTCCAGCGCCGAATTTGGCATAATAACTATAGATCGGGGTTATTCTAAAGTGTTTTCTAGTTAGACATAGGCATAGTTTACTCACTTTTGCCCCCCTTTTCCACATCGGAGCGCTCGTTTCCGGGCAACATAGACACGGAGAAGCATTTGTAAGCGGCCGTAAAGTTACGTCCCTCTGGGAACATCATATTGAAACCGCTAAAGTGGAACATAGTGTTCAAATTCACACCCCGATTTTTAAATGGAATTTTATTGCCCCGATCTTAGGGGGCCTAAATTTGGTTGCTTTGTTATATATATTTTGTTTTAGTTTCTGTAATGTCACGGCTGCCGTGAATGATGCGGTCACACTACCAAACTAAAACATACGGCTCATTTTCTACATAAACCTTACATGTAGATAAGAAATGTAATGAAAGTGGCGCCATCAATAAACTAATTAAATATTCTAAATAAAAAAGGGATTTTTATTTAAATAATATACTTTGTGCTTACAAATTGATTCTGTTTAGTAAAATAATCATGGTATCATATTCCAAATCCCTCAAAGTATTAAAAATATTTGTATAACTTAAAGTTGAGGGTCTAAACATTATACATTGCTTGTTTATCTTTTAAATAAAGAACATTTTTTTTTAAATAAATGGTTTTTGGAAGAAAAGATTCTAAGGATTACCTTTTGGATGGTTTTTCACATCTCAAACAATTTTAAAAACTGGCAAAAAACAGTGCTGCCAATCATGTTTAATCGACAAGAAATTTACGATAAAAATATTTATCTCTTTTTCCAAAAATATCGATGTTACGATAAACGTATATATCTTTCCGACATCCCTAGCCGGTGGTTGCGCGCGACTTCGTCCCGCTTAAATAAATTCAATAAAAGAGTTATTGATTTGGAAAAGTGTTGCTGTTCAAGTGAGTACCCAGAGCAATGGACAGTTCCTCGATTTTGTCTTGAAAATAATTGTCAGTGGACCGATTCCTAGTTTTGTCAAGCTTTTCGAAAAAAAAGTTAAAAGTCCCAGTGCGCGTTCTATAGGTGTGTGCTTGTATGCGCGGATATCCTTGTGTATCCTTGTAGTCTGGCTGGCGCCGCGTGTTTTTTTGCGTAGGTTTGTGGGTGTGAGAGATTTTCACCATAATATTTCTCTAAATATTTTAAACATACGAAAACGACAAAAAAATCGGTGCAATTGATTTTTAATACAAATAACCGCAAACATTTATTTGACTTTGGTTTGATTGGAAAAATCGATAAAGTGAAGAAAAAAATAACAAGAAAACGGGCAGTGTGGGTGGTGGGCGAAAGGAAAGTGTTTTGTATTATTTTTTGTTTCGTAAATGTATTATTTTCTATTGTAAGGAGTACAGTTACTTTCGATATTGGTCATACAGTTTGAGAGCCATCGCAGCCATGTGCAGCTGTTTTCAAGTCGCCTTTCTTTGTTGTGGTTTGTTGTTGTTGTTGCTTCGCAGCTGCAGCAGCACCCAAAAGCAACAGCAACATAAAGCCACCCAAAAAGGATATGACATGGGCGCCCTGCGCATCATCATACTTCTATCCTTGTCTCCTCTCTTCTGGCAGCTTCCAGACGAGACTCTCCCGGTCCTCCCCACTTTCACCTTTCTCCTCCCTAACCGCAAACTCTAGGTGGCATGATTCACTCTCAAATCTGTTCAGGATGTGTATAGTTTTTCTATATTTTGGATGATTTTTGCTATAAGGATGCTTGAAAAATTTTAATTTTTGAAAAAGGAAACTAATTTTTTTACAGTGGGGTATAAATCCACAAAGTTTAAAAAAAATCTTATAACTATTTTTTTTAAATTTATCTTTATTTAAGTCCATATATTTTTCTCAGGTTAGATAAAAGTTTTAATATTTAAAAACCTCCGAAAGTAATAATATTTTCTATAATATTCAAAAGTATTCCACTGTGCATACAAATAGAAATAAAAGAAAAAAAACTTCAGCTATTTTGTGTACAGTTTTTGTGTCTGAAAGCTAATTTTAACAAAAAGCCAAGTGGAGCAACCAGATGAAAGTATTTAAACTTTAATATATGTAATCACAATGGCTCTCAAACTTTAAACAGTGTGAATTTAATTTTTGAAAAAATCTTATTTTTTTTCCAAATATTTTTTTTTACGTCAAACAAAGAATTTGTAAATCCAAATAGACGGTTCTTTCTTCTGGCCGAATGATATCATGAGTAAAAGCTGATTGGTTCGGGCCATGAACGGGTAGTTGGGTGGGTGGGAAACTGGACCAGTGGGTGGTGCGGCGGTGGCAGCAACCCTGCAAGGTCAAAGCGTGTACACACTCGCTGCCGGATGGAAAGTGTTTTGCAAATTAACCCGATGCTGTATTGCAACTTGCGAAATTTTGTGAAATCTAGCAAGGGCTTGTAACTGTACTTATTGGGTTTCCAAGGCTTCTATTATAAAGGGTTCTTTAAATTTTTTATAAATTTAATTGATACATCTGTGAGTTTTTAAAGAATTTTCTTTATTATAACAATTTAGTTATCTAAAATACACAAAATCTCAATTATTCAGAAACATTTATAGATTTTTAATTATTTATTTTAAAGTTAGACTGTACATTTTCTACAAAACTTCAATATCTTTTCTGTTGCCAGGCGGTCAAAAAAAAAAAGTATTGAATTGGAATGGGATTTCTATACTCATGCGTCCATATGTAAATATCTATATATATATAGCTATACAACAAAACATTAATTCCTCGCCGACATACCTAGTTATAAGCATATGTATGTGAAATTCAATGAGCCGAACCAGAGGAGCTTTTTGTTGTTTTTTTTTGTTCTCCGGCGCCGGCAAAAATATTCTTCAGGTTTTTTTTTATTTTGTTTTGTTTTTTTTTTTTTTTTTTATTATTTTGCCATCCACACGTTTTAAATATCAGCCGACAAACTCGTGATTCCATTTTAGGATCGCGTGTGATGGAAAAAAACCTTAAAAAGCCCGAAAGAAATGCCAAAACAAAGTTCAAAGTCTGGTGATGAATGTTTAATGGTTTAAAAAAAAAGCAAAGGGGCAATAATATTTGCGGCTTTATTTTTTAGCCTATCTTTTAAGTTTTGTACAGTCACACGTGCTGGAAGTAGTACAGTGGATAGAAATGAACAAAAAAGTGATTAAAAATAGTTTAAAAAACATGCTAAAGAATTTTATATTTATATTAGATAGTTTTAGGTCTATTTTTATAAATTAAGTTAAAAAAAAATACTTAAAAACTTGACTATTTTAAAGCTTTTACTTGTAATTTGTTTTTAAATGGTATTTTATTCAATTATTTAAAGTGCTTGTTAGAGATAAAAATTGTATTTAGTTAGCTAATTTTTTGTTTAATTTTTTTGAAAAAAATGTTTCGATTTTAAAGTTGATTCTTTAAAAATATTTTATAAAAAATCGTATTACTTAAGTTTTTTAAAGCTTTTACTTTCCAATTGTTTTTAAATGTTATTTTATTTTATTATGGCACGTGCTTGTTAATTACTACAATATATATTATATAAATAATATATACTATTATATATCATGTGTATTCTACACCCTTTCATACCCGAGAGCATTTCCAATTGGATTCAGCTTCCAATGGGATTCAAAATAAGGGCCTCTACCGCGCAGTTTGGCAGCCGCTGGATGAGCTGTAAGGGGGTGGTGTTAATTTAAAAACTTTAGCCCGTATTTTGCGGCAGCATGACCTTGAACTTGCCGCAAAAAAAAAAACCACCCCGTAAGGCTACAACAAGTGGATATCGCATTAGGGGTGTATGTGTGCAGCGGCCGCTATTGTCCGTCCCGTCCTGGAGAACGAGCTCCGTAACAGGTCTTTTAATTCGCCCACCACCACCACTACCACCCAATCCAATGGCATGGGCTTGATACCAACGTCCTTGGGCAACTGCGGCAAATTAAATCAATATTAAATGCAGTTTTGTGTGTTGCCGTGGCAGTTGCAATTGCAGTCAGTAGTCAGTAGTCAGTAGGCGGCAATGTCAAGGTTCAACATGACGCGGGCTAAGTGCATCAAACACTTGGAGAAAATTATTTAAAAAGTTGAGAGAGAGTTTTAAAAAGATTAAGTTTTATTTAGATATATCGTATCTATTTGGATATATATTTTTTTTAATTTAATATAATTTTTTTAAGTGTACTATAGGCCATCTGTTGTGTTTTCCACTCGCCGTCCAATCCATTTTAGTTTCATTTCCATGTCATGCTACAGCAATCGAATTACGTGCCTACTGCCCCAACCTCCTGCCCCTGCCCATCATAAACCACCCACCGCCCACTCGGCCTTTCTAACGGTCCATTTCAATTACAAAACTGTCCAGCTAAAAGGCAATAACTGTAATTTCGCAATTATTAATCTAAGGTTTTATATTTATTTCATCATGTATTTAATAATAGAATATTTTACAACATATTTGTCCTAAAACCATATAGCTAGAATTTATGAGTTATTGGTTTCCCATAACTCTCTTTTGACATTTTTATTTCATGCCCTTTCACTCGAGGTCGTCATCAGTTTTTCATCATTTTATTAGCTTTTATGGAATACTATGACTTTAAAACTGTGCTGTTGCGTGTTGGCGTATTTTTAGTTCAAAAGTTCAAAATACGCCACCAAATTGGAGGCGATTACCACAAAACTATGATTGTTTCCTACCCATTTCTATTGTGAGAATTTGCAAGGAACCGACGTGGGGTTAAGGGGCATGGAAAATGGGGCATGCTTGTGGCACGCAAATATGGAAATTTCGCGACCATACATCGCAGCTTAATCAGCATAAAGCACTGCGACCTTGCCACGCCGTGGTGTCAGCCATTGTCCTCGTTATTTGCCTCAAGCGCCCTGACCTCTAACCCCACACCCTACCCTGCCCTGGGCCTGGGCGTCATTTGTCTTCCACTTGCCTACGGGTGGGTGGGTTTTCTTGAATAATGTTTTGTGTGGGTGTGGTTTGGTTTTGTTCTTAGAACGAAATTGTTTGTTTTTTTTAACCTTTTTTTTTGAAAAAGAATAAATTACATTATTGCTGGCCCAGTCATTGATCTTCATTATAGGCAATGAAAATCTATTGTTTGTTGTTACAACAATCTAAACAATAAACAAAACAACAGCATGCGACAATTACCTTTTCAATTGCGAATTTTTCATTTAAATTGTTAAAGTTCTACATAGCTGATGGATCCACGTGAGTCAGGAATCCAGATAGATCTGGAAATAAACAAAAAATATTTGAAATCAATTGAAAAACTTATTCAAATGATTGTTTTCTGGTTCAAACCGGTCTAAAGTGATTTTAAACCGATGATTCAAATAGCTAAAATTTTATATATTTTATTTCTTATAGACATGGTGAATAATTCTCTACGGTGGATACAATTTTGCTACCCCAAACGTCAGGTAAGTGGGTTGAATTTTTATAATTCCATCATATTAATTAATTAATTTTTTTATTAATTTTAGTTTGCCAACTCGACAACTCTTAAATCCTACTCAACATAACAAGAAACTTATTAGAATTAACAACAACCAACACTACTCAACACAACTCAACACTTACTCAACAACAACATCATCAACAACAACAACAACCAGAATCGTTTAAATCCCAAAAAGTAATCCCCAAATATTACTAAAAGGAGCCATCCAAGGATTAAACGAATGCCAGTTCAAGAGTAACCATTGAGTCTGTAGAACTTGTCAAAGTCGAGCTTCGAATTCCATCAATTAGCCCGACAAGGAGAAGGATTTTAATTTGGAATTATAAAAGTTTAGTTTTTGGTGTTTAGTGTTTAGTGTCCTGTCCAGTCCAGGATATATTATTCGTATTATTTATTGCATTAATTAGAGACAGGGCTGAACCTCAGCTTAGAAGTTAGAGGCTACACCCCCACGCCCCAATCGTAAGGGCTAAAACATTTCAGGGTATCCTAGTTACTTAAGAGTTACGCACCTTGTCAGGTCCAAGCGGCGAGTTGTTCCCCAATTCTCATTATGAAAATAATGACAATGAAGTTTAAGCGCAAATATGGCTGTTTAGAGAATATTTGAAAAGAATTTCTCACCTAATTAACCAATTTTTGGATTTTTTGTTCGACCCTCATTTGTTACGTAGTCTTTGTATTTTATAAGTTCTCAGCGATTGTTTTGCAACAAATCCATCACCCACCACACAGTTAAAACCAAGTCACACCACACCCCCATTCAAGTTTTAGTTCAGTTTTTAAGGATCAAGGATAGTACTTGACTTTTAGTTAGGGTTTGAGGAAGTTATAGAGGTTTTTTGAGGGACAATTTTGAAGTACATCTAACACCTAACACCGATCCATAATGGAGAGTTTCTCGCCGGATCTACTATGGATGGTCGTCATCGGCTTCCTGATCGCCTTCGTCCTGGCCTTCGGCATCGGCGCCAACGATGTGGCCAACTCCTTTGGCACTAGTGTTGGCTCAGGAGTCCTTACCATTCGACAGGCCTGCGTCTTGGCCACCGTTTGCGAGATATCCGGTGCCGTTTTAATTGGTAAGATTTCAGTTAAGAGACGATAAGATCCTCTTCTAAAAATATCCTCCTTTCAGGCTACAAAGTTTCGGACACCATGCGCAAGGGCATCCTGGAGGTTGGCCTGTACGAGGGCTCGGAGGAGGTCCTGATGCTGGGCTGCGTGGCTGCCTTGGCTAGCAGCGCTGTATGGCTTTTGGTTGCCACCTTCATGAAGCTGCCCATCTCGGGCACCCACAGCATCGTTGGCTCCACCATTGGCTTCTCTTTGGTGGCCCGGGGTGTTCAGGGACTTAAGTGGTCCACCCTGGGCACCATCGTTGGCTCGTGGTTCATCTCGCCGGTGCTGAGCGGTATTGTGAGCATCCTCCTCTTCCTGGCCATCCGCCGGTTCATCCTTCGCGCCCAAGAGCCGCTCAAGGCCGGGTTCCGTTCGCTGCCCATCTTCTATGGCGCCACCTTCTTCATCAACGTGATCAGCGTAGTGCTGGACGGACCGAAGTTGCTCTACATGGACAACATCCCCGCTTGGATAGCGCTCAGCGCCAGCCTGGGCCTCTCGCTCCTGGTGGCGATGCTCACCCAGATGGTGGTGGTGCCCCTGCAACGTCGCAAAATAGCCAAGCGCCTGCGTGCCGAGAATCCAGTCAAGTTCAACTTTGAGGACTCAGTGGGTGAGTTTAAAAAACATAATATTCATTTAAGAAATTTCCCATTTTGTTATAAAATATGGAATAGATGTTACCGACCTGTGTTTAGGTAACCTAGTTAGATGTGGAGTTAGATGACACTTTTAGAATCGCGACTAAGCAAACATAATACGGGTCATATGAAAATATTTGTTTGAAACCAACAAGCTGGTAGCTTCTTCCAAGTATTTCGGTTGGGGTATAAATAGTCCTCGTTTGGCCAGAGAAGGTACATCAGTCCCAGTACTCGAAGATACATCACAAGATGCGATTCCAACTGGCTTACTTCCTTGGCTTCCTGGCCCTTGTTGCCACTATCCTCGCCCAGACCTCCACCCCCCCGGATCCCACAACCCCACCCGCTTCGCCCACAACACCCACCGATCCCAGTACTACTCCTCCGGCCAGTCCAACCACGCCCCCCGCCTCGACTACGCCGCCTGCTACACCTCCTGCATCCACTGATCCTACCAGCAGCACTCCCGCATCTTCCACTGCCTCCACTACCGCTGCTCCATCAAGCGGAGGAGCCAAGAAGAAGAAGCGTACTGTCAAGTCAAAAACCGTGACAAAGCTGCCCAAAAGGATAACAAAAATTAAACATAAGAGATCTCGTGGACGCAGGTCCTCCCGGAACTAAGATAACTCAAGGATTCAGACCTTCGCAGACCCCCGAAAAACCGACCCTCGATTACCCATTGTTGTTACCTTTTTTTAATTTTAGTTTTAATTACATTCTTTAATAAAACATTTATTTCTTGCTAATCCTAATATTTATGTTCGAATGGAGTCTCAAATAACATCATTATCTCTTACATTTTCCATTAGATCCCTGAGGGAAATAGATTAATCTTTTTCCCCATCGATTTGCATTAAAACCTACAGCAATAGTGGGAGACATCCGTCCCCAGAATGTATATATATTCATGACCAGGACCACCTCCTGAGTTAATTTAAGCATGTCTCTCTGTTTCTACGCGAACTAGTCTCTTAGCTTTAAAGCTGTAGAGATGCTTCAAACTTTGCACGAAGTATCTAAGTCGGAACGGCTGGGATCGCCCGGCTATATCCTATAGCTGCTATACGAGGTGTGTTCAAAAAGTAAGGTGACTTTGTATTTTCAAGAAAAACTATTAATTTATTTATCAATATTTATGTTGTCCCCTTCAAAGTAATCCCCCTCAGATACAATACACTTATGCCAACGGTTTTTCCAATCCTCAAAGCACTTCCCATAAGCACTTTTCGGTATAGCCTTGAGCTCTTCCAGCGATACAGTCTTTATCTCTTCAATCGTTGCAAATCTCCGTCCTTTGGTTTGGTTTCGATATCATAACCATATACCCATGATTCGTCACCAGTTATGACCCTTTTGAGTAAATCTGGGTCGTCGTTGACGTCATTCAACAGCTCTTGAGCGATGCTCATGCGACGGTTCTTTTGGTCAAAATTCAGCAATTTCGGAACAAACTTCGCTGACACACGACTCATACCCAAAACGTTTGAAAAAATTTCATGGCACGAGCCAAGCGATATACCGACATCTTCAGCAACTTCTCTGATAGTGATTCGACGATTTTCCAAAACAATTTTCTTCACTGCTTGAACGTTTTCATCAGTTGTAGACGTGCTTGGGCGTCCAGAGCGAGGCTGGTCATTGGCATCTTCCCGGCCATCTTGGAAGAGTTTGTACCACTTGTACACATTTTTTTTACTCAGAACAGTTTCACCGTATGCCACTGTCAACATTTCAAGTGTTTCAGAGCACTTAATTTTATTTTTTACACAAAATTTGATGCAAATCCTTTGATCCATATTTTTCGATAGCAAAAAATCGCCGAGCTCGCAAAATAACTTGTAACTTTACGCCTCTCACAACCAAACAAAAGAGGATGTTCCATTGAAACTTGGTACAGATGTTAGGGAAGAGTGTACCAATATAACAAAACAAAAAAATCGATAATCGAAAATATGTTGCCCGCGAAATTTGAAAAGTCACCTTACTTTTTGAACACACCTCGTATAACTAATTCATGGGAAATGGCATAACTTTGGTGTTTTTCAAGTTAGGGAGTTAGTTAGGGAGTTAATGGCTCATAGTTATTCTACTTTTGGCCAATCGATATGAAAGGACAAATTAGATTAGGATCCTCTGTCTATATCATATAGCTGCTCTATAACTGAAGGATCGGAAATGACCACACTTTGGCATTTCTAAAGAGAATTTGAAACTTATTTTTGAAAATTTTCGATTTCAATAAATTGGTTTTATTATGAAATTATTTTATTATAACCGATATTTGAAATATCCGATTAAGTGCAATGATATCACAATTTCGGCTCCGCCCGATTTTAGCTTTCCTTTCTGGTTTTTAATAAAAAACGCTTTCGAAATCGCTGATATTGCTTTATGATTCTTATATGGTCTCTATGATATATATATCTCTGTTTAATTTGCATTGATCCTTAATGAACGATATATTATGAAAATAGAATTATTTTTCATGTATTTTTGAAAGAAAACAATTTAAAATTCCTGGATGTTCCTAAGAATCTTACAACTCCCCGGAGAAAACACTGTAAGAAATTATCCCTGAAGACTATCCTATATTATCCCTTATTTTGCAGACTTTAAAAATAATTTACTCTACTAGTCTTTGAAGTAAAGTAATTACCTATATTATAATCAAACTAAAATCTTATCTCTTATAAAATCTTATATGTAAGCGTATCCAAAGTCCCTTGATTTCTAAGATAAAAAAAAAAATTCATATAGTAGATCACCCGAACAAAAATAACTTTAAAGTTTGGATAATATTTTCCTTTTATTAATGCAATTTAAAATCTAAGAACAGAGGGATATCAAATCAGGGGGTTTGCAGCAGTTTCGGGTGGTTTAGTTCCTTAGTTTCGGGTGGATTCAGAGCGGCGAGAGTTCCTGCGACGGGAGCTGTTGCGGTTGGATCGGTTACCACCATGAGTATAGTACTTAGTCCTACGTGGACCCCTCTTTGTCTTCTTCCTCCACGTACGCTTGGTTCCCTTTTTTCCAGTTGAGGCTTTGGTAGTGGAGTCCGTGGAGGCAGCGGTAGTGCTGCTGCTTGAGGCATCTGTGGGTGCCGGTGTAGCAGTGGTGGGATCAGTGGGAGTTGCTGCGGGATCAGTGGGGGTAGCTGCGGGATCAGTGGGAGTAGCAGAGGGATCAGTGGGAGTAGCAGAGGGATCGGTGGGAGTGGTAGGGTCCGTTGGGGTGGTCTGGGCACAGACACTGGCGACGAGGGCCAGGAAGCCAAGGAAGAAAGCCAGTTGGAATCGCATCTTAGTCTGTATCTTTTAAAACTAACCGTGATATGACTTTTTAGCCTCAATAGCATAGTATTTATACCCGAATTGATGAGGAAAATGTTGGCGGATTGTTTGCTCCAACCAAACACCCGAAGAATAAGCCTATGTGTGCTCAGTAGCGATTCGCCATATGGCATCGGATTCGCAACAGAATGGGGTTGATGGAACAATGAACGCCACCATCTATTTCAACACCATCGATATTTGGCAATAGATACTTTGCAAAGTCAACAAATTATACAAATATGGGCTATAATACCAACTTTATTCAGCTTGTTGGCGAATAAATATACAAATAGTTGGCGAATTATGTGTTTTTAACTCAATTCCGCTTATTTATTTTAGAATCCTCTCCGTCGGGAAGCCCCAAGAAGCAGCGGCGTCCTCTGTCGCTGGTCAGCGAGGGCAAACCCCTGCCCGCCATCGCCGAGATCACCGAGCTGGTCTCCTTGAGCGACAACTCGCCCAGGACCTTCAAGCTGGCCCCCTTCGGGCTGGCGGCCAAGAACAACAACGCCCCCGGCGAGGAGTACAAGATCGATCCGCAGCTGATCAAGAAGGCCGAGGATCTGCTCGGCAAGGCCAGCCTGGACAACACCGACCTGACCATCACCAGTCTGAACTTCATCGACGAGCAGCAGCAGCAGCAGAACCAGCAACAGCAAAACGGGCGCAAGCTGCAGGAGTGTTTCAAGCGAGTCCAGTCGCCCAAGGAGGAGCCAAAGGTAAGTAAAGGTCATGGAATCAAAGCAATGGACAGTTTATGACATTCTTGACAATTTCTAGAACAAACCCCATGCCAGTGGATCGGATTCGGGAGCCGGAAAGGAAACGGGAGCCACTGCCAAAGCCACCAACAACAACCTGCAGGTGGTGGAGAGCGGCGGCAGTCTGGATTTGATGATCAGCTCCACGTTGTCGCCCAACTCCAGCAAGGTGCCGCTGATTGAGAGCAAAGAGGCGCTGAACGAGCAGGAGGACGAGTTCAAACGGGCGGCGGCCGGAGTACGAAGGGCCAGCGGCGGCGAGGAGACTCCCGAGATCTCCATGCTCTTCTCCTTCCTCCAGATCCTGACGGCCACTTTCGGCAGTTTCGCCCACGGCGGGAATGATGTTAGCAACGCCATCGGTCCCCTAATCGCCCTCTATATGATCTATCGCGAGGGCTCGGTTATGCAGCAGGCGGAGAGTCCCATCTATATCCTGATCTATGGTGGCATCGGCATCTCCGTGGGCCTCTGGCTGTGGGGCCGACGTGTTATTGAAACCATTGGCAATGACCTCACCAAAATCACCTCATCGACGTGAGTTTTCTTACTATTCCCACCATAAACTCCACCTTTATTGTTTATATTTTTATTTTAGTGGCTTCACTATTGAAATTGGAGCGGCCATCACCGTACTGCTGGCCAGCAAAATTGGTTTGCCCATTTCGACTACTCACTGCAAGGTCGGTTCGGTGGTTTTCGTCGGTCATGTCAGTGCAGCCGGACGGAAGAAGAATCAGCCCAAAGGCCAGGAAGGATCGGAAGTTGAGAAGGTCGCCCAGCCGAATGAAACGCCTCTGGCTGATGGCAGTGTCGATTGGCACCTGTTCCGGAACATCGCCTATGCCTGGATTGTGACGGTGCCGGTTACGGCTCTGCTGAGTGCCGGAATAATGTATGTGCTCTGTGCGATCGCCGTGGATGACATGGGCCGGGACTAGAGGCCGGAGGCTGCGATCAGAGCGTGTCATTCAATTATTAATTGTAATAGCATATATGCTAATAATGTTTCGTAATTGTACAAGTTGGAAAACACAAAAACCTAAGATTAAAAACGCCAGAGAAGACACAAGACAACAAGTGGGAGAATCTTAACAAAATTACTCGCCTAACTAAAAGCATTGTACTTAGCTCATAGAAAGTCTCTGATGCTAACTGATATTAATATTATTTAATACGTGTACGCCAAGCATGTCGTGATTTTATTCAATATTGATACACTGCGATTTTTGTTCACAACCGAATGGCATTTGAAACCCCGTTTGTAGACCTAGTCGCCATCCACTCGAGATATTTTTCAACTTATAATTTACACCAATCAATAGAACAGAGCAAAACACTTGAATAAAATACAAACTATGTACAACAAAAGCATTGTTTCTTAAATACTTTTATTACTCAAAATGTATTCTTTTGTTAAATTTTATTCAACTGCTGTTTTTCCTCGTTGGTTTCCTAATTTCTGTACTTTTTTTTGGTTCCGTATTCATATTTCTATGAACTTGTGAGCTCTCCAGTCCGATTTATTTACATTCCATTGAGAGCCACATCATAAAGTATTTCACTATGTAGATATATGAGAAATAAATACAAAGTTATGACATTAAGCCTCTTGTTCTTTTTAGAAAGGGTTCTTGAAATATTTGGCGATTTTTCATGTTTATTTAAGAATTAAACTATAACTAATTTTAAAAAAAGATAACAACAATAGGTAATCCAGGGGCTTTGGGTGCTTGGGTCTGCGGCTGTTTGAATCCTTGAGTGGTTTTAGTTCCGGGAAGACCTGCGTCCGCGGGATCCCCTGCGGTGCGATATTGTCTTCCTTCCGGGGCGGTTTCTCCTGCACCTTGACCTGAAAACATGCTTCTTCTTGGTTCCTCCGCTTGATGGAGCAGCGGTGGTGGAGGCAGTGGAAGAAGCGGGAGTGCTGCTGGTAGGATCAGTGGATGCAGGAGGCGTGGTGGGCGGCGTAGTTGGTGTGGTGGGTGGCGTGGTTGGACTGGTCGGAGGAGTAGTGGGATCGGTGGGTGTTGTGGGCGAAGCGGGTGGGGTTGTGGGATCCGGGGGGGTGGAGGTCTGGGCGAGGATAGTGGCAACAAGGGCCAGGAAGCCAAGGAAGTAAGCCAGTTGGAATCGCATCTTGGAATGTATCTACGAGTTCTGGGACTGATGTGTCTTCTCTGGCCAAACTAGGAGTATTTATACCCAAACCGAAATTGTTGGAAGATGATACTAGCTTGTTTGTTTTAAACAAATATTTCGTTATAACCCGTATTATGTGTGCTTAGTCGCATTTCTAAAAGTGTCATCTAATTCGGAATATAACTGGGTTATTAAAACAAAAATGTTCACAATTTGTCCCAAAATTATTAATAAAAATTGAGTATTTGTTGTTTTAAAAAATAAACAAATAAAAATAAACTTAAAAATAAACAAGGCTAAATGGAGGATAAAATAATAAAACGTTTAAGGGTCGGAGGCGAACATGAATTTAGGCCATACACATTCCCCTTTGTCCACATCTAAAGCCATATCTCGGCCAATAATCATCCGAATCTGGAACGGAATACCTTAAACGATTTCTAGATAGATTCTCCATAATTCTGGATTAAAATCTGATAATAAAAATTTTTTAAGATTTTTTCTCAAATTTTGCGGAGGGTCCCCTTCAAAATGTGGAAAAATGCAGGGAAGGACAAAACGTTCCACATCGAAAGCCATATCTTGGCCAATAATCATCCGAATCTGGAACGGAATACCTTAAACGATTTCTAGATAGATTCTGTTTAGAGAATATTTGAAAAGAATTTCTCACCTAATTAACCAATTTTTGGATTTTTGTTTCGACCCTCATTTGTTACGTAGTCTTGTATTTTATAAGTTCTCAGCGATTGTTTTGCAACAAATCCATCACTCACCACCCACCACACAGTTAAAACCAAGTCACACCACACCCCCATCCAAGTTTTAGTTCAGTTTTTAAGGATCAAGGATAGTACTTGACTTTTAGTTAGGGTTTGAGGAAGTTATAGAGGTTTTTTGAGGGACAATTTTGAAAAATACACCTAACATCTAACACCTATCGACCATGGAGAGTTTCTCGCCGGATCTACTATGGATGGTCGTCATCGGCTTCCTGATCGCCTTCGTCCTTGCCTTCGGCATCGGCGCCAACGATGTGGCCAACTCCTTTGGCACTAGTGTTGGCTCGGGAGTCCTTACCATTCGACAGGCCTGCGTCTTGGCCACCGTTTGCGAGATATCCGGCGCCGTTTTAATTGGTAAGCTTTCAGTTAAGAGAAGATAAGATCCTCTTCTAAAAATATCCTCATTTCAGGATACAAAGTTTCGGACACCATGCGCAAGGGCATCCTGGAGGTGGGTCTGTACGAGGGCTCGGAGCAGGTCCTGATGCTGGGCTGCGTGGCTGCCTTGGCCAGCAGTGCTGTATGGCTTTTGGTTGCCACCTTCATGAAGCTGCCCATCTCGGGCACCCACAGCATCGTTGGCTCCACCATTGGATTCTCTTTGGTGGCCCGGGGTGTTCAGGGACTGAAGTGGTCCACCCTGGGCACCATCGTTGGCCCGTGGTTCATCTCGCCGGTGCTGAGCGGTATTGTGAGCATCCTCCTCTTTCTGGCCATCCGCCGGTTCATCCTTCGCGCCCAAGAGCCACTCAAGGCCGGGTTCCGTTCGCTGCCCATCTTCTATGGCGCCACCTTCTTCATCAACGTGATCAGCGTAGTGCTGGACGGACCGAAGTTGCTCTACATGGACAGCATCCCCGCTTGGATAGCGGTCAGCGCCAGCCTGGGCCTCTCGCTCCTGGTGGCGATGCTCACCCTGCTGGTGGTGGTGCCCCTGCAACGTCGCAAAATAGCCAAGCGCCTGCGTGCCGAGAATCCAGTCAAGTTCAAGTTTGAGAACTCAGTGGGTGAGTTTAAAAAAACATAATATTCATTTAAGAAATTTCCCATTTTGTTATAAAATATGGAATAGATGATACCGACCCGTGTTTAGGTAACCTAGTTAGATGTGGAATTAGATGACACTTTTAGAATCGCGACTAAGCAAACATAATACGGGTTATATGAAAATATTTGTTTGAAACCAACAAGCTGGTAGCTTCTTCCAAGTATTTCGGTTGGGGTATAAATAGTCCTCGTTTGGCCAGAGAAGGTACATCAGTCCCAGTACTCGAAGATACATCACAAGATGCGATTCCAACTGGCTTACTTCCTTGGCTTCCTGGCCCTTGTTGCCACTATCCTCGCCCAGACCTCCACCCCCCCGGATCCCACAACCCCACCCGCTTCGCCCACAACACCCACCGATCCCAGTACTACTCCTCCGGCCAGTCCAACCACGCCCCCCGCCTCGACTACGCCGCCTGCTACACCTCCTGCATCCACTGATCCTACCAGCAGCACTCCCGCATCTTCCACTGCCTCCACTACCGCTGCTCCATCAAGCGGAGGAGCCAAGAAGAAGAAGCGTACTGTCAAGTCAAAGACCAAGAGGAAGCTGCCCAAAAGGATAACAAAAATTAAACATAAGAGATCTCGTGGACGCAGGTCCTCCCGGAACTAAGATAACTCAAGGATTCAGACCCTCGCAGACCCCCGAAAAACCGACCCGACCGATTGCCCATTTTTGTTACCTTTTTTTAATTTTAGTTTTAATTCCATTCGTTAATAAAAAAATCATTTCTTGCTAATCCTAATATTTATGTTCGTATGGGGTCTCAAATAACATCATTATCTCTGCCTTTTTCCATTAGATCCTTGAGGGGAATATATTACTCTTTTTCTCCATTGATTTGCATTAAAACCTACCAGCAATAGTGGGAGACATCTGACAATATAAAGTATATACATATATTCATGATTAGGATCACCTCCTGAGTTGATTTAAGCATGTCTGTCTGTCTGCGAACTAGTCTCTTATCTTTAAGGCTATAGACTTTCAACTTTGCACGAAGTATATAGGTCGGAACGGCCGGGATCGGCCGGCTATATCCTATAGTTTCTATATAACTGATTGATGGGAAATGGTATAACTTTGGTGTTTTTAAAGTTAGGGAGTTGGGAGTTTGTAAGGGAGTTAATGGCTCTTAGTTGGGATTTTCTATGCATTCTACTTTTGGCCAATCGATATGATCGGCCAAATTTCATAAGGATCCTGTCTATATTAAATAGCTGCTCTATGAAGGATCGGAAATGACCACACTTTGGCATTTTTAAAGATGGAATTTTAAGACTTTTTTTTTGTAAATTTTGTATTTTAATAAATTAGTTTTATTATAAATTTCTCATAGGGATCGGTTAACTATATCCGATTTTTGCAATATCCGATATTTCGATCTTAAGTGCAATGGTATATCTATTTCGGCTCCGCCCAAAGTGAGCTTTCCTTTCTGGCTTGCTTCGAAATCACTGATATTGCTTTATGATTCTTATATGGTATCTATAATATTTATATCTCTGTGAAAAGTCCATTGATTTTATATGAGTTCCTGCGACGGGCCATATCTTGGCCAATAATCATCCGATTCTGGAACGGAATACCTTAAACGTTTTCTAGATAGATTCTCAATAATTCTGCATTAAAATCTGATAATAAAATATTTTTTAGATTTTTTCTCAAATTTTGTGGAGGGTCCCCTTCAAAATGTGGAAAAATGCAGGGAAGGACAAAACGTTCCACATCGAAAGCCATATCTTGGCCAATAATCATCCGATTCTGGAACGGAATACCTTAAACGCTTTCTAGATAGATTCTCCATAATTCTGCATTAAAATCTGATAATAAAATATTTTTTAGATTTTTTCTCAAATTTTGTGGAGGGTCCCCTTCAAAATGTGGAAAAATGCAGGGAAGGACAAAACGTTCCACATCGAAAGCCATATCTTGGCCAATAATCATCCGATTCTGGAACGGAATTCCTTAAACGATTTCTAGATAGATTCTCCATAATTCTGCATTAAAATCTGGAAACAAAATATTTTTTAGATTTTTTCTCAAATTTTGTGGAGGGTCCCCTTCAAAATATGGAAAAATGCAGGGACGGACAAATCGGTCCACATTGAAAGTCATACCTTGGCCAATAATCGTCCGATTCTGGAACGGAATACCTTAAACGATTTCCAGATAGATTCTCCAATATTCTGCATTATAATCTGGGAACAAAATATTTTTTAGATTTTTTCTCAAATTTTTTGGAGGGTCCCCTTCAAAATGTGGAAAAATGCAGGGAAGGACAAAACGATCCACATCGAAAGCCATATCTTGGCCAATAATCGTCCGATTCTGGAACGGAATACCTTAAACGATTTCTAGATAGATTCTCCATAATTCTGCATTAAAATCTGGAAACAAAATATTTTTTAGATTTTTTCTCAAATTTTGTGGAGGGTCCCCTTCAAAATGTGGAAATATGCAGGGAAGGACAAATCGGTCCACATTGAAAGTCATATCTTGGCCAATAATCGTCCGATTCTGGAACGAAATATCTTAAACGTTTTCTAGACAGATTCTCCATAATTCTGCATTAAAATCTGATAATAAAATATTTTTTAGATTTTTTCTCAAATTTTGCGGAGGGTCCCCTTAAAAATGTGGAAAAATGCAGGGAAGGACAAAACGTTCCACATCGAAAGCCATATCTTGGCCAATAATCGTCCGATTCTGGAACGGAATACCTTAAACGATTTCTAAATAGATTCTCCATAATTCTGCATTAAAATCTGATAATAAAATATTTTTTAGATATTTTCTCAAATTTTGCGGAGGGTCCCCTTCAAAATGTGGAAAAATGCAGGGAAGGACAAAACGTTCCACATCGAAAGCCATATCTTGGCCAATAATCGTCCGATTCTGGAACGGAATACCTTAAACGATTTCTAGATAGATTCTCCATAATTCTGCATTAAAATCTGGAAACAAAATATTTTTTAGATTTTTTCTCAAATTTTGTGGAAAATGTGGAAAGATGCAGGAAAGCACAAAACGGTCCACATCGAAAGCCATATCTTGGCCAATAATCATCCGATTCTAGAAGGGAATACCTTAAACGATTTCTAGATAGATTCTCCAATATTCTGCATTATAATCTGGGAACAAAATATTTTTTAGATTTTTTCTCAAATTTTGTGGAAAATGTGGAAAGATGCAGGAAAGCACAAAACGGTCCACATCGAAAGCCATATCTTGGCCAATAATCATCCGATTCTAGAAGGGAATACCTTAAACGATTTCTAGATAGATTCTCCATAATTCTGCATTAAAATCTGGAAACAAAATATTTTTTAGATTTTTTCTCAAATTTTGTGGAAAATGTGGAAAGATGCAGGAAAGCACAAAACGGTCCACATCGAAAGCCATATCTTGGCCAATAATCATCCGATTCTAGAAGGGAATAACTTAAACGATTTCTAGATAGATTCTCCATAATTCTGCATAAAAATCTGGGAACAAAATATTTTTTAGATTTTTTCTTAACTTTTGCGGAGGGTCCCCTTCAAAATGTGGAAAAATGCAAGGAAGAACAAAACGGTCCACATCGAAAGTCATATCTTGGCCAATAATCATCCGATTCTGGAACGGAATACCTTAAACGGATCTGGGAATCTAGGAATATTTTTTTAAGAATGAAACTTTTAACTTAAAAGGCTTTTAAGGTTATTCGAAAGATGAAGCCGACTTTCGAGCTTGGTACAAATGGCCAAGAAAGCACTTTGAGTTTTTCACCTGTCGAAAGCTCGGAGCCGAGAGCTTTTGTTGTGTGTGGGAATTTACCTTTATTTTTCAATTTATTTGAGTTTTTAGCTTCGACGCGTTCGGTTGGACCCGCTCTACCCGATTCCGATACCGATTCCGCGAGATTTTGGGAGACCCGGTTTGGTGCAATTTGAACTCGAAACGCCTGCGCAATTTTCGACCAAGAAATTTGATATTCGGTTTTCAGTGGTAACTCTTTGGGGTTTTTAAGAGAAAACATAATTGTGAGATATTAAAAACTTGTTTTAAATTTAATTTTGGATATTCATACATACGCCTTTGGATTTCCTTTGCTAGCAGTCTATTGAAGGATTAAAGGTGAGATTTATTTTTCAGGGAAACATTTTTAGGAGTTGGCCATTTTCTAGGCCCATTTGGAGTTCAATTGGTTTCTCAACAAAATACCAAACTATTACTTAATTTCTTTCTTAATCCGATTTCCGTCCATTGAACTTTTCATCTTTGGATATCTTTATTTTTTGCATTTGTTGTTGTAAGTCGTTTTTTTTTTAAACTTTATTTTTGTTACCAACTTCTTGTGGTTGTGTTGCTGTTTGTGATGTTGTTTTTGTTTCGGAGACTGTTGATTGTTTTTGCGTTGTTTCCTTGCCTTCTCTGTTTGGCAAACGGCTTGTTCTCATTTTATTTAATGAGTTCTCCGGTATTTTTACCTTTGTTTTGCATTGTTCAGAGCCCTGTTTGTTCAATAGGTTTAAAGCGTTGTAGCGATTTGGTCGAAAACAAAATTATTAGCAAGTGGATTTGACTTTTGTGGGTATTTCCGATGTCGGTTAAATATTTGCTTTAATTAATGAATGAGAAAAATGTTGTTTTTGTGATTACCACAGAATTTGGAACTCCTAAGCCTATGTTCTAAAATTTATTTAAGAATCCCAAAAGCCTATAGACTTAGACTTACTCTATAATTAAATGACTCATAACTTTCGTGGAACCATACTCCTTGCTGAGACAACAACATAATTATCTTTTTAGCAAATTAATAACCTTTTCAACTCTCACATATCATAGATTGATGTCAAAAATCTCAGTTCCCAGCATGTGCGACCCATTTGCACAAAAAAAAAATAGAAAAACCACCGGAGAACCGACAGGTGTTCGATCTACCGGATAGCTAGCCGGGCTTATTATGCGACTTAGCGGTATTCGAGTCAAAGCCAAGATGCCGACACGTGAAGATAGGGCGGCTATGTTTAGAGTAAGGCCCCACAAAACCCCCCAAAAAAACCCAACCCAAAAACCATTTGCGAAAGCCACAAAGCCAATTCTGTGCAGAACAAAAGCCAAACGATCGAAGCCATTAAGCCTGGCCAAGAAGCGAGCCAACTCCCCGTCGCTGCTGAAGCCAAAAGTCATTAAAGACAAAAATCTATTGAAAACGGCAGAGAAACACGCCTTAAAAATACTTCAACAGCAAATATTTCTGTTGCACATGGGAGTTTTCGAGTTGGCCAGGTGGATGCCATGGCTAAGACCAACCGACCACCCCTCACCCTAGTCTGGTACAGTGGCCATGTTAATTATTCGCTTATCAGTTCATTACAAAGCCGGAGTCTCTACCAGCAATTACCTGGACACTCTCATCGAATTCCAGCTGCGTTCTAATTTCTTTGCTCTCCTTCTCGGCGATTAATCAAATTTGTATCTATCGGATGTACTGCTTGGACTGTTATTACTGCATTCTGGCACTAGCACTGGCTCTGGCACTGCCCCTCCATCCGCCAGATTGTAAGATCGCCTTTGCATATGAGTACTTAATGATAACCCTCGGAGCTCGACTTTCTCCACACCTGAGTGCCGGACCTGGGAGTGGTTACTCCCCCAGTCCACCACATACTCCCAATTGAATTGGACAAGCTATAGATGGCTGTAGAAGAAAGATATTGATTATTATTTTTAGTTTTTGCGAAAGCCATCAGCAATTAAGTGGTGGATTTTTCAATTTCAGGCCTATTGGTGTGAGAAGGGGTTTTTATGGCCAGAACCAGTTGAAGTCTCAGTTCATTTTTCATCTCCATCAAGTGGTCTGTAATCTGCAATTAATCCTTGTTAGATTTTATCTTTTGAAAAGAAAAGATGCATGTTGTTAGATGAACCTGAAATCTGTATGTAAAAAATAGTACATACTTAGTTGCATTCCGTGGCATAAAATATGTTAAGCAATTGCATCAGCATAAAAAAAATCAATGAACTAGTCACCAGAAATGGGAAACAAAATGCCAATTTTTCACTTGCGTAATATCCAAGAGAAGCCCATAAAAAATAAAAACCAAAAAGAAATGATGAATGCGATGTCTAAAATTTGAATTGAAAACTTTTGAAAAAAAAAGAAAACAAAACACCCAAATAATGGGCACTTTCTAACGTGGCCAGTCTGTTTCCTGATGTCCCATGGTTTTCCTAGGATTTCCTTTTTTTTTGTCGTCATGCACATTATCGCCCCGAAAACTCACTTGACAGCACCACCCCCTCTGCAGCGGCGTGGCCCCCCCTTTGGGGACATGGTCCTCCGCATCATTGTCATTGAAGTCGACGACTCCACTCGGTCCCGACTGCATTTCCCACTCAAGACAAAATTTCATAAAGTTTATTAAACTTTAGCCAAATTGTTAAAGCGTCGATTTGCTGTTGCTGCTGCCCAAGTGTTTGCAACACTCCTCCCCCTTGGCTTGCAACGACCCCCCCCCTTTCCGCTACCATTCACTTTTAATGCCGCCGTTGCTGCTGCTGTAGGCGCCCCAAACGAGTCCATCAACTTTTGGCCAAAGCCAGCTTCGGACCAAAACCAAAACAAACTGCCACATTGGCCCAAGTTGGCTCTAATGGCAATGGTCAGGGGCGGTGGGGGATGTGTTTTCCTTGAAGTGGCAAGCATTTTCCCCGAACACCACTCGAAATATCAGAGCCACTTGCAGTTGCATTTCGCACACGGATTATATTTGCGTCTCCGCCCCGAGAATCGCGAATTAGTTTTCTTTTTTTTTTTGTTTTGCATAAGCTGTCAAAATGTAAAATCTATTAAGTGATCACTTCCTTAAGGCGTAAAACGCAATGGGGAAATGGTAAGAGATTACTAAAATATTATGCAATGGATGTGGCATGAATGTTTTTCAAGTGGCTACCGAAAAAAAGGAAATTATGGATTGGTTTTGATGGAATATTGATTAGTTTTCCTGTTTTATTAAATATTTTATTGTGACAAGTCCTGAAAGAAGATAGTAACTCCTAGTAGCTGTAGCTACCACTATCAAGGTTGCACCTTTCACTTGCTCTCAATAAATTACCAGCCACTTGAACATATCTTCCACATGGATGCAGACAATACCATAAGAAACAATAACTAAACATGTCACTGAGCATTTGACTTAATTAGGAAATTGTACAAGTGCAACACAGGTTGAACCTAAAGGCTGCAATAACAATTGGCATTAACCACATTAACCGCATTTTTCCATCACTCAGGCCCATACATATATTCCGCTAAAATAAACGATATGTCGAGTTACACGATCCAGCCCCTTCTCACCCACAAGATTGCATTTGCATTGAAAGTTGTTTTGGTTCAGTTCCAGACAGGCACTTGACACAGCCAGTAACTACTGCTACATATTGCCAGTATATATCTGCACTGAATTGGAATTGAAAAAATCAGACAGGGAGTCGGATTCGAGCCAAAGTTTCACTTAAATTAGTTTAGAAAGAGAAAATGTTAATTTCGAAATTTTCTAAAATGATTTCTATAAGGTTTTGCATGGTTTTCCTTTCCTTTTTTTTTTTAGTTATATATTTTAAACTGTCTATATGACGTGTGTGATGTGACGTGTAGTGTCCAGGGTATAGAAGCTTACAAAGCTTGTAAACCAAATGAATTCATTCATAAGAAATCAATAAAAATACAATAAAACTCTAGATCGCCAACTCTATCCTATATTTCCAGTATACTATCTTATTCTTTATTATCTTATATGTAGAGTATATGTGCTTCGACTCCACCCGAAGTAAGCTTTCCTTTCTTGCTTAAGACTATATCTAATGATCTACCTAGTTTAATGTTAATTTTCTATTTTTATTTATTAACTCAGTTTGTAGACCATTCCACTCAGTGGCTTTAGCTTTTTATGCTTTTAAAGAACTAGTTTTTCTGTTTCGATTGTGAAATCGAAAGCATTGGCTCGATTTTCTGTGAAATGAAAAGAATGCGGCAATAATCGCCGGCAGCCAATAAACATAATTGCTCAATGGTTTTTGCCAATCATTAGATGGGCGTGCCCCGCCTGGACTTCCTATGCAATGAATTATTTCTATAGAAAATCAATTGAGTCCGCGAACGATCAACAAAAACTTTCATTAAAAAATGCCAAAACGTCTGAGACAATTGGAAATTGCGAATACGCCCTGTCTTCGCCACAATTTGATTATGGAAATGTAATTTTCGTCGGTTCGCAACTGTTTCCTCATCGAATATTATATGTAATTTTCCAAACACGCCAAATAATAAAACGTATGTTGACCCAAATACTATCTTTTCACATTTTACATAGTTGGTTTGTAGTTTGTAGCTTGATCCAATGACTTCAAACCGCCGTATTCAAGCTGTTTGGATAAGTAAAAAAAAGTTCACACCTAAAAGGCTTTGCCTTTGCCACGATATTTTTGGGCCAAACTCAGCCAAACACGAGCATTCCAAAATGCAGGTGAATAGCCCCCCACGCTAAGCTGGAGCTCAGTTCGCTCTGTTTTTTTAGCTTATTTTTTTTTTTTTATTTCAGTCCAGTCCAGTACAGTTCACTTCGTTTTCAGTTTCAATTTGAGTCAGTTTCTGCTCAGGCTTACCTTGCCCAGCCCAGCCTAGCCCAGCAAATCGACTTTTGTGCCAATTTTCAATGCAAATCGCATTAAGGCAAATGTTGCAAACGGCAGCCGGCATTCGCACTCACGCCACAGATAATTTGTAACGATTTCTTAATGACCGAAGCTAACAAATGAGACTCGAAATAGGCTAAAAGAAAATTAAATTGAAAGGTGGTTTTTGGAAGGCTCAATAGATGGATCTTTATAAGAAATTGAAGCTAAAGATGGGACTCTGAAGTCTTAAGTCTGGGCCTAAAACTGTTTGGACAAATATTTAATCAAAATCCCTAATATTGATATTTTATTTACATTTAAAATTGCTTAACTTTAAATAGCTTTTGTGTTCATTATCTGAACATATAATTAAGCCTATGCTTGCTTCGAGACACTGTTATTAAATGATTAGTGTGGCAGTTATTCAATTTTTCTTTGCTTTTCCATCAATATAT